CCGGCGGCTGGGATTTATTTGGGCATCCAGATAGTACGGCGGCGGCGGTGCATGTGCGGGTCCGCCGTACAATAGCTGGGGATAAGATGGGGGAGGAGGCGATCCTGCAGCTGAGGCGGGAGTCAAAGGCGCTGTCGGCTGCTTGGGATTTATTTGGGCATCCAGATAGTACGGCGGCGGCGGTGCATGTGCGGGTCCGCCGTACAATAGCTGGGGATAAGATGGGGGAGGAGGCGATCCCGCAGCTGAGGAGGGAGTCAAAGGCGCTGTCGGCTGCTTGGGATTTATTTGGGCATCCAGATAGTACGGCGGCGGCGGTGCATGTGCGGGTCCGCCGTACAATAGCTGGGGATAAGATGGGGGAGGAGGCGATCCCGCAGCTGAGGAGGGAGTCAAAGGCGCTGTCGGCGGCTTGGGATTTATTTCGGCATCCAGATAGTACGGCGGCGGCGGTGCATGTGCGGGCCCGCCGTACAATAGCTGGGGATAAGACGGGGGATGAGGCGATCCTGCAGCTGAGGCGGGAGTCAAAGGCGTTGTCGGCTGCTTGGGATTTATTTGGGCATCCAGATAGTACGGCGGCGGCGGTGCATGTGCGGGTCCGCCGTACATTATTCGCTGAGGTTTGGGCCTTTTAGTAGTTAGGGAATATTGCTGATGCGGTGGTTGCAAATTTCGAGATACCGCCACCGAGGACGACCGAGTTGACATTGATGAATCTGCAGCCATAATTGTTGTAATGAGGCATAAGTTGCGTTACTTGAGGCATAAGGTTTTTTGGTGGTATAAGGCGATTGTCGGTCGGGACACAACGAAGCGTTTTCCACATGACCGTAACAAAACGTTGTCCGCAATAAACATCTGCTGCTTGTATTGACGTCTCCACCTGTTTTATCTTAGCAGCCATAAACGGTTTCGACCCGGGTCGCAAAGCCGTTTTCGGCTGAGCCTATTTACGTTATATCGATTTTTTATCTGCCGGTTCCGCTAGACTTTCGATCCTGGAATTCCATGTCATGCTGCCATGAATTATTTTTAACCTTTATAGTTACTTGAGGAGAAGCAAATGAGGCAGAACGAGATGTTTTCGTGTGTAACCCTGTCTGCAGAACTCGGCTAGTCGCGACTGAACGATTGCTCGAAAGGGAGTGCATGACAGCAGTCACCCGACAACACTTTGCATGAAGAAAGCGAATTATCTCTTATAAAATTAGTATAGTTGCATTGCTTGTTTGCCGAAATTTACGCAGCTCTAGGTTTCACGCTATGGCGCCTCTGGATCTTTCGACAGGTAGGAAGGAAACCGGGATTCGACTAGGAAAAAATATCCACATCTACCGCGTGTTGCAAGGCATCACTGTCAAACAAGCAAGCATGCTCTGTGTCGTCGATCGCTTTCGCTACGCCGGACTGTATGAATAATATTCCGCTAGGTCGCATTTGAGAACATATTATCAAGTTCTACGAAAGCAAAGCCGATTCGTCCGCATAACATGTTCGCTTACCGAGAACTAGAGTCCGTGCGGCCGTCGCCTTCGATGCAACCAGCAGCAAGATCGCCAAAGCCCAACACAAAAGCGCCGATAACTTTATTTCCATTGAAGTCTTTACATGTGCAAGAGATGTCTACAAGGTGAAGGCTCCTTGCGGTTGATCTCGTTAGGCAGGCCTGCTTACCATACCGCTTGTCCAGCAGAGCACCCTGCACAAAGACCAGCTCTGGCTGGAGTAAAGCAAACACCTTTTATAGCGAAATCCATAGCTTGGTCTGAAAAGAGCTCCTGGCTGCTGTTACAGCAAAGCACTGTGCTCACATACGAAAACCTGTTCCAGGCTGTTCCTGACCAATCTTGGAGGTTAAACTTCCCATACGCCACAATGCAGGTATGGACTTTCGGGAATCTTAACAGCTGCTTCACCCGATTAACCACTTGCGTTTTAACCCGGGACGAGTTCTGTACGAAGTTAAACCGTTGAAGGTAAAATATGCGCTGCACACTGCGTCGCTGCCAGACCACAACCGCCCCAATGTGATCACAGAGACAATTTTAAACATAGATATGCAAATGGTAAAAAACAGGAGCTGTTTGCAAATCGGAATACGAAAATGGAGAGCCACTAGACCACGACGAAACGAGCACCTTGAAACAACACATGTTCAAGAAGAATTAACGACATGCCATGGACAGCGCCCTTCTTCGTCCTTAACGCAAACGCAAAGGGCTCTGAAGCAACCAGCTACAAAAGCGATCGAGAGCGATCCGCAAACACCAAATGGACGGCATCTCAAGATAGTCAAACATAACCTGTAATCGCATTTAAGCAGGCATTCTGGCTGCTTAGCAAAATTGTCCGCGAAAACCCTATGGGAAGTCTGCAAGTGCAAACGTAACCCTGCAGTTTCGGGGAACGACGCACAGCTCCGACACAGCCGGATCACGACAACCAGGTACAGCTCACATGGCCTCCGAAACCGGTTGATCTTCGCCGTTTTCAAACCTACTGCTGCGCCAGCGCTCCGTTTGCTCGTGTGTAATCCCCTGCCTGCTGCGGGGCTGAGCTCACCAGAAGCGGTCCAGTCGCATCCTCCCTCCTGCAGCTTTCATCCGGCAGCCAGTAAGTGAATCCTAACCTTGACTTATCGACTCTCGACACCTGCACACTTTTCCCCTTTTCAGGGCGAGACGCGGCGTCCGTGCGACCCAAGCCCACAAACCGGCAGGAGTGTCACACAGGGACCTGCGTCCCAGATTCAGCACCGGAATGCCACAACAGAGACATCACAGACACCGCAGGCATGCACGCAGGGGCAGACAACCATATATATGCGTGTGACCTGCTTTGCAAGGCGCCCCTAGGAAACATAGGACACAGCCGTATGGTCTCCCTGACCAGCACAGCCACATCACGCAAACGGTTACAACCCCTATCCAGCCTTTATCATCGAGATGCCACGCGCGCCCATAGCACCCTAATACCCTATTCTGTAGGGACCAGACACAATCCGATGCACTGCACCTGTAGTACGCCAGCATGCAGACAGGGCCACCTGTATGCTGAGCGCAGTGCGGACCACTGCTGGAGGGCGAGGCGAGTAGGATTTTGTCGGGAGGGATATGACGAAGCACAAACGTTTGACGAGAAGGAGAAAGGAGGGAATGGATCAGGGAATGAGAAGAGAGATCTTCCCAAGCGTGGGGTTATAGGAAAGGAGGACAGCTTGCTGTTCCCCGAACGCTGCAGGTAACCCGCCTGCGATGACTGGTTCCAAGAATTCAGGGGTTCACATGGTGCGAGCTGCTATGTGCTCGAGGGGGGTGCTTGTGCAGCCATTGGCCCTTTACTTTGCACGGGGAAGCGTTGGGGTAAGACGGGTGGCGGTAACAGGACCTGGTGACCTGCCTGGAGATGAGCCATGACAGACACTGCACGGGCACAAAAACATCGGCTATCAGCCTTTTTGTAAGAGGTGCATTAGTCGAGATGAGAGAAATGCACTCAGCAACAGTATAAGCGGTCAGGCACGCGCATACACAGGAGACGAGTACGGCCACTGCAAAATCGATTCTGGGGCATAATCGTGCGAACGTGCATGATCGAAGACCATGATATTGCCAAAGGCTCACCGTTTCGTGCATGAACAAATTAGATAGGGATGGAGGGGAGATTGCGCTAAATCAAATGGGGTAGACCTGGTTAACGGGTGCGTAAACCAAAGTGCCATGGCGACCGTGAAGGACGCTGAACCTGTCTGTGACCATTCTCAGCGGTCTGCAAATTTTGCCGGGTCCTAGAAAAGAGACCATTAGAACCCGAGTCAACACGAGGGTCTTTAAGGAGCCTTACGAACACTCGTTCATCTGCTTTAGCTGCACGACTCGCAGGATGTACCCGCTACTCTTTTCTGGAATTGAACATGTTTGTGCCAAGCTAGGCAGCCTCAGTGTGCAAGCTATGAAGAACCGTGAGGAGGGAGGGTTAGCTCCTCGGTAGAAATGGCTGTATAAGGTAGGTAGAGGCCAGACATTAGGGACGTCCAAGCTGCGGCAAACCGAACCGCCGCGCACAAGACAAATACATCCCTCAATGCTCCCACAGACTTCGCGCAACGGGAGTGTTCGAAAGGAACAAGTAGAAACATGATGTATATAAATGTCAGCTTTGGTACGTAGGAAAAGATGTGGATTTTGGCCCCCGTTTCTCGTAAATTATGGTCCATGTCTCTGTTCCCCTAGATGGAAGGTTCATCTCAATATGTTGAGCTATATCTATGTCTGCAGTGTATACCTTACGGTGGCGCTGGGGCATGGCGAGTTGCGCATTGATGACCGGGTTTGTCAGAGGCCCTATGTGAGCATTCATCTTGAAGTTACAGACACTAGCTGAAGTCGTGGCTTTTACACTTGTTGGCTCCTTGAGGTTATTAGGTGGAGACGGAGCATCAACATTTTTAGTTACTAGTGCCAGGTTCAGCCAGCATGCAGCTCAACGCCTCTGCCAAGGAGGGGGCGCTCGGCCGTGCGAGCAGCACGCGCCGCGTTCCAATCGCAGCTCTACGCATTGGTGGCCGCACGCGGAAGGTCGTTCAGTGCTCAGCCAGCTTGCAGTATGGCTTCCTGGGCCAGCGGGTGGCAGGTCGCGTGGCAGTGCCCACCGCCGCCCGCAAGTCTGGCCGCGCTGGTCGCCTCGTTGTGAAGAGCATGTTCGAGCGCTTTACAGAGAAAGCTATTAAAGTTGTCATGCTGGCGCAAGAGGAGGCCCGGCGGCTTGGCCACAACTTTGTGGGGACGGAGCAGCTGCTTTTGGGCCTCATCGGCGAGTCGACTGGTATTGCGGCCAAGGTGCTGAAGAGCATGGGAGTCAACCTTAAGGATGCTCGTGTGGAGGTGGAGAAGATTATTGGGCGCGGCTCTGGCTTTGTCGCGGTGGAGATCCCCTTCACACCGCGCGCTAAGCGAGTGTTGGAGATGTCGCTGGAGGAGGCTCGCCAGCTGGGTGCGTATCGATCCAGGATAGAACTAACTCGTATGAGCTTTATAAGTATTAAGATCTAGAAAGCAACATGCGCCGCCGCGCACCGCTACGCCAGTAGGGTTTATGTTGCCGGAGATTGCTTCCTACGCTCGAGATTTTTGCGCTTGAGCTGTCCAGTCTACAGTAGGATGATTATAAATGTTCGCATATTGAACTGTCGGGGTTTGCCAAACCTGAGCCTCTCGGTCTTTTCTGTGGTGCAGGCCACAACTACATCGGCACGGAGCACATCCTGTTAGGCCTGCTTCGCGAGGGAGAAGGCGTTGCTGCGCGTGTACTGGAAACTCTTGGTGCAGACCCTGCCAAGATTCGCACTCAGGTAGAGTTAGCTTTAGTCGCGATGCCTAACACATCGTTTGTGGTTTGTAGGAATTTTGTTGACTGCACCCATTACTCATTAAGGCCTATTCTGCTATGATCAGTTTGCACTTAATGGATCCCTTGCTTGGTGCACAAACTGTCTTGCGCCATCTCCCTCCTTACAGCATTGCCACAGGAAACACTCTCTGTGACATACACACGCACATGGAAACCAGCTTTGGTAGAGCACATAGAAGACCAGCTGTAGAAACCAGAGAACTTTAGGTTTCGGCAATAGTGCAGGCCATACGGAGGTGATGTCTCGCAGCGGACAGCCAATTGTCACTAGTGCTGTTGCTGTCTCCATTGAAGACGGGCTTCCCTGTATAGACTGCTCTTCGAAAGTTAACGTTTCTGATTGAACGGATTGAACGGAACACCGCAGGTCATTCGCATGGTTGGAGAGAGCCAGGAGCCGGTGGGTGCTGGCGTGGGCGGTAGCCAAGCTCAGGGCTCGAACAAGACTCCGACTCTGCAGGAGTATGGCACGAACCTTACCCAGCAGGCCGCAGAGGTGAGGGAACCACGTCCTTTTCCTTCCGCCATGGCGATGGGATACCGGAGAGCTATGAGAGGGGAAAGCTCACAACAGCAGGTTTCCTTCGGCTTGCTCTGCGCCTTGGTTTTCCCTTAGCCCTTAGTTGTTAGGGACCCTGTGTATGCGCACCCACCTCAGCTAGTGAGGGTTATGATGTGGGCGGGTCGCGATATGGGTCACATGCACCGGGGCAAGGTGTGCATTGTGCATCTGAGGGGGGGAGACAGAACCCTGACGGCGATGGTGGAGGGTCTATAGCAGCTAAGGTGGGGTTCCGCCAGTGGAAGGTCTGCATGCGCATGAAAATTCCCACTGCGGGTGAATAGCCCCCACGTAGGCTTCATGCGGGCACGACGTCGTGTTCGTGTTGGTGGCCAGATGGGTGGAATGTCGATGACGATCCTACTAACGATCATCCCTGTTCTGTGTAAGGCCCTCGCGTTCGGTTGCTGTGGGTTCTGCTAAGTGAACGTCACCAAAAGGCTGTCGAACTGGGATGCTGTTATGTTATGCCATGGCTTCGCGGTTTGGTTTACAAGGCTTCTAAATCGCCGGCGACATTTTCGTACTCGTTACTCGCTTGCTTCCGGCTTCCTCGTGCCTTCTTATTGCCATGTAACCCTACTAACTGCTAACGCACTACGTGGTCCGGCTGTGACGCTCTTCTGTTTTGTCTACCTAGGGCAAGCTGGACCCGGTAGTGGGTCGCAAGAAGCAGATCGAGCGTGTGATCCAGATTCTGGGTCGCCGTACGAAGAACAACCCCTGCCTGATTGGTGAGCCCGGTGTCGGAAAGACCGCCGTGGCTGAGGGCCTGGCGCAGAAGATTGCCACCGGCGACGTGCCCGAGACCATTGAGGGCAAGCAGGTGCGCGGAGGTGTGAGGCTGTTTGGTGGAGGAGAGGAGAGGACGCGGCTGTCCGACTGACCTTTATGCGCGCTTTTGCTGGGAATTTAGGAAAGGAGGACTTCGGTCACTCTCTCATGTTTATTGGGGACTAGAGCTGAGTGAGGTGAGGGTTCGGTTGGGCGTTGCGGTTGCGGTTGCGGGCAGTTGAGGTGTTTCTTGAGCGGGGTGGTCCTCCCTGTGAGTGGGGGGTCGCGTCAGCGCACATGAATGCGCACAGCGCAAATGTTCAGGTGTTGGTGCATCTGGGTGATGGGTGATGGTAAGGGGAACTTTAGGGGATGCCAAAGCTACAAGTTACAAGTTCCGCACACAAGTGCGGGTGTGTCCGTAAAAGCCGGGGGGGGCCATGGACGTTTTATTGGTATAAGTCCCTAAAGTGGGTGTGCGGAGACCAATTGCCCGTTACCCTGATATATATTCCTTGCGGGTGGATAAGGCCATTCTCCCACGTGGTCATGTGTTGAACAAGAGGGGGGGGGGGCAGGAGCCCGCAAGAACTGGGACCAGTGGCAGCCAGTGGCTGGGGTGGAGGAGAACAGGGAGATAGGGGGGGTTCGACCAAGCCAAGTAAATAGTTGGTCCTTCTAATGCGGTGGTCCTTTGCGTGCAAACGCTGTGACAACCCTTGCCTTGCCAACCGTTTTTTGTGGGTCGGTGGGTGCGCTTTCTATGCGGCAGGCAAGAGGAGCCTCCTCCTGGAGGGTTTGCAGCTTGACGGGTTTTCCAGATGCCTTCCCGCCACACATATACACATATATACATACGCACGCACTTGGGGACGAGTTCTCGGGGACGCTACCAGCAGCACTTGCACCAATTCCTGCACTCCTACGGCCTTTCCTCTCGTGCGCTGAGGATGCTGCCAGTCCGCCGATGACACGCACAGAGCCAGGCAGCCAATTGAAGAGTGGCGCCATGCATCGACGCTCTGCTGGCTAAGCTGATCACTGATCACTGACGAGCCAGACTGCGGTGTGCGCTCACTGTCAGGTCACACCATGCGTAATTTCTCACACTCCCGCATCCTTGTGATGGATGGACCATGTGATACTGCTTCGCGGACTCGGCCAATGCTGCCCCCTGTGTTGAGTCTCACTAATCTGCACCGCGTCCCTTCAGCGGGTGCCGTTCTGCCATGTTTTCCACAAGCTCCTCGAGCATGAGCTCCCTGCAGCAGTAGCAGCAGCGCAAGAAGACGGATTCTGGTGGTTGATCAGAACTTTTCCCCCCTTTTTCCTCGTCGCCGTCGTGGTTATGTCCACCTGAACCGTCGTGCGTGTCGTACCGCGCCCTGTGTCGTACAGGTCATCACTCTGGACATGGGTCTGCTGGTCGCGGGTACCAAGTACCGTGGTGAGTTCGAGGAGCGCCTCAAGAAGCTCATGGATGAGATCAAGCAGAACGATGACATCATCCTGGTGAGAGCGGATAAATCTCTTCGGCGGGGAGGTTGTGGTAGAAATCGCCTTTGCGATTTGGACAGTCGTTCAAGAACCTAATTCTGGGGGGTTGCGGGAAACTGATGATGTTTTTTGGGGGGTAGGGGAAAGTTCATAAACATCCAAAGTTTGAAAAAATATCCTCAAAAAGCCATTAGTTCTGGCTGAGACCTAAATATAGTGCTTCGGGGGGGCCTAGTTCTTTTGGTTTCGGGCGGAAAGGGGTAAGTAGGTGAGCAGGTGGGTCGTGTGGCGACCCCACCGTGTTTCGCTTGTTATCATGTAACCCTATCACCCGACACCGACTTCACACCAACCGATTTTTCCTCCTCCTTCCTCTCCCCCTTTTCCCTTCCGCGGCCCCACCAGATGATTGACGAGGTGCACACGCTGATTGGCGCCGGCGCAGCCGAGGGCGCCATTGACGCGGCTAACATCCTGAAGCCGGCACTGGCGCGTGGAGAGCTGCAGTGCATTGGCGCCACCACCCTGGACGAGTACCGCAAACACATTGAGAAGGACCCCGCCCTGGAGCGGTGAGATACCCGTAACGAGAAGATACCCTCCCTCCGGGGGGTGGGGTGGGGGGCGTGGTGGGAATGGGCGTATGCGAGTCGGTTTCGGAGTAGGATCGAATGGAACGGGTACGTGTATCCTATTCCTCGATCCCAACGGTGTTTCGTTCTTTTCCATTGTGGGCGCGCCTTTCTCTCCCCCCCTCTCACACAATACATACGTACATACTTGCATACACTCGTTCTGGGGAATGAGCGGTAGGCGGGACGGAGAGCAACCACCGCGTTGAAGATAATTTGTTACGGAATACGTAAACCATGTCCATGCATCAAGGGAAAAGTAACGTGTCTCCCTCCCAAAGTTTGATAGATTTAAAACTTTTAAGGGGTTTTTGAGCCCCTTGTGGTTTCCTGTAGTATTCTACCCCCCCCCCCGCCAGGGCCCCTTTCCTCTCCACTCCTCTCGGTGGGCCTCCTCTCCGTTCCCGTAGCCTCGCACGTTCCGTACTCTTGTCGCCCACGTGGTCACCTTACGTTGCTGTTGCTCCTCACGCTGCTATTCCCGCGCCGCAGTCGTTTCCAGCCGGTGACGGTTCCGGAGCCCACGATTGAGGAGACCTTTGAGATTCTGCAGGGCCTCCGGGAGCGCTACGAGACGCACCACAAGCTGCGCTACACGGACGAGTCGCTCATGGCGGCTGCCAAGTACAGCAGCCAGTACATCAGCGACCGCTTCCTACCGGACAAGGTCGGTGGGGGGGGGGCCCGGTGGTGGTGGTGGTGGTGGTGGTGGTGCTGTCTGGGTCCGTAACATAATTACTGCCGTAATATAACTACAGTTTCCGAATGTAAAGCGTTTCAATGACCCCGGGGAGCGCAATTGAGCTCCCCGGAACGAGGCCGGGTGGGCAAGGAAGGCGTAGCAGGCCGGGCGGTAGAGGCCCTTGTCCGCAATTATGTAGAACGCTTGTTCGCTGAGTCCGGATCCGCGGCTGGCTGTTCTCTCCGTCCGGCCTTCCCATCATCCGGCCTCACCTGTCCATCATCCACCTCACCTATATATAATTAATCCCGTTTTGAAATAATCCCCTCCATTCCCCTCCCCTTTGTTCGCGGTTCGCGGTCTTCCCCTCCTTCAGGCTATTGATCTGATTGACGAGGCCGGCTCCCGCGTCCGTCTGCGACACATCCAGCTGCCCGAGGAGGCTCGCGACCTGGACAAGGAGCTGCGCCAGGTCACCAAGGACAAGGACGCGGCGGTCAGGTGAGCAGCGGCGGCCGGGGGGGAGCAGCAGCGACAACAACTGCTTGGGAAGAGAAGGGAGGGATGTAGGAAGGGTGATTGGGTTTGGGGGCAGCCTGAGGAGGGTCTGGGGCATGCGGGGATGCGAGATGCTTCTGAGAAGGCGCCAGGAGGGTCGCTCTCCGGTACGACGACGGCCATGTGTGCCTCTGCATCAAGAGGCAGGAGGTTCTCGACAAGAAGGAGCCTCTGCCCTTGCCCGAATTTGTTGAAACATCCCTCCGTTGTTGTATTCCCCCGGCACTATTCCCGTCTTGGTATCTGCTCCATTCCCCGGTGGTTTCCGGCTGGTACCCCACTATTCCTACTCTGTGGCTCTGCGTGTATGTTGTAGGGCTCAGGACTTTGAGAAGGCCGGGCAGCTGCGGGACCGGGAGATGGAGCTCAAGGTACGGTGGGGGTGCGACGGTGAGGGTGGGGGAAGAGCTTTGGAATCCGAGAGAGGGATTTGTTTCTTTTCTGCAGTAAAAAACACTTGGGGTTTTGCAACCGTAATATGCTTATGAGGCGGGTCTTTCCGTGCGTCTCGTCCTCCTGAGGATGGACGGTGCTGCCGGGGATCGGTATTGGAAGGGGTCACTGCGTCCTTTCTCTCTCCGTTGATGGGAGAGGCGGTGCGAGGCGGTCCATGTATGGCTATCCATTACCATAGAACGGAAATGCCGCACTGGCACTGCGATACTACTACTGCTACTACGACTAGTAGTAGTAGTATCAATACTATCGCTGGACTATTGCTCTCCGCATCTCTCTCGCAGGCCAAGATCCAGGCAATTATCGCGGGCGCCAAGGAGGCCTCGAAGGCGGAGGCGGAGAGCGTGGAGGGCGGCGGCCCCGTGGTAAGTGCCGTCGGTACTGTTACCGGAGCGCTCCTTTGAAATGGGTTCTTTTGTTCATTGTGCGATTGAGCAGGAAAAGGGGGGAGATTATATTATGGGGCATATTGGAGGTTGCCAGCGAGGGAGGTTGGATCAGAAGGTAGAATGATACCAGATGGTACCAATGTGCTGTACAGTTGCTTTTGCAAGATTGAGTGCCGGTCGCCCATTGGTAATTCGGTGCTGCACAGCCCCACTGGAAGCGCTGGACGGCGACGACGACGGAGCAATATATTGTCTTAACGACGGATAAGAGTAACTCTTGGGCAGCCGAACATCTCTCCTCTCTTTTGCCTCCAGCCTTTTGCCTCAATCTCCGGCGACAGGCGACTTGTTCCACCTGATTTCCGCTAGCCACCTTCCCTCGCGTATGGTGTTTTCACTGCTGCTCTGCATTCACATGATAAACACACATATATACATACACACACGTCTCCTCCCACCGACCGCGCGTCTGGACATGCTGACTGATGTTTTTGTGACTGGTTGGATTCCCCCCCTCCAGTTGGCACCCAGTAGACAGTACCCAACCTCACCAAACCCGAACCTCTCTATGGCGCAACCACTAACAGGTCACGGAGCAAGACATCGCCTCCATTGTGGCGCAGTGGACGGGCATTCCCATCGAGAAGGTGAGAGCTGCGGGACGGACGGAGCTCTCGTTGCCGCTCCTTTTCAATTTGCAAGCAAAATAGCGGGAACCGAAAGGTTCATATGCTCCCTTCTTCCCCTTTGACCCTCCTCCTGTCATATGCGCTGTTGGTGGCGGCTTTGCTTCTTCTGTCCTTCCTCTCCTTTCTGGAGGTTCCATTAAGGCGCGATTGAGGACAGTCTTTCCTTTCGCTCACTTATCTACTATCCCTCTTCTTCCCGCCGTAATGCACACACGCCCTCTCTGCCACTCGCCCTCCCGCTCTTCCCGCAACGCAATGTAGAGAAGTAGAACGCCCACAAAGCTCTGTTGCCACAACCCGACGCAACACAAACATCATAACGGAGCGCACTTGAACTCCCATCCAATCCGATTCGACCCCCCCGCGCGTGCGCGCAGGTGTCGTCCGACGAGACGGAGCGCCTCATCAAGATGGAGGAGGTCCTGCACGGCCGTGTCATTGGCCAGGAGGAGGCGGTCAGCGCCATCAGTCGCGCCATTCGCCGCGCTCGCGTGGGCCTGAAGAATCCCAACCGGCCCATCGCCTCGTTCATCTTCGCCGGACCCACCGGTGTCGGCAAGTCCGAGCTGGCCAAGACGTTGGCCAACTATTACTTCGGCAGCGAGGAGGCCATGGTGCGCCTGGACATGTCGGAGTTCATGGAGCGGCACACGGTCTCGAAGCTGATTGGCTCGCCACCAGGTGGGTTGTGCGTTCAGGCGGGATATGGAGATGTAATCATGCCGGGGCTAGTGGTGGCGCCGGCGGGGAACTTCAGGGAAGAATCAAAGGGGAAGGGGGGACTTAGACTCTGGGGAGGGGCTGAAGGCGGAAGGGGCGTTCTGGTTGGCAGTGCCTGTGTTGGGTCGACAATTTTTGCCGGCCGTGGCGGCTGGGTGGGGAAAGAAGAGAGGATTTTTGATTAAGAGTATGGAATGACATCAAAATGGGTATTCGGCTAGCACGTTTGAGCTGTTGATGGATGCAGGAGGGGATTCGCATTGAGGGATGCAGGAGGGATGGGGCTTAGAGGGGCCACCGGGCGTGGTGCAAAAGCTGTTTTTTTTCATTTTTTAATATATATTTTATATACAGGGGTATTATTATATATATAATAACATATATATATCTCGTTGCTTTGATGATAAATAACAAAGGTGACGTCATTGGCCCTGTCCCCTTTGTCCCATCGTCCTGTTTAGGCTACGTTGGCTACCAGGAGGGCGGTCAGCTGACGGAGGCGGTGCGCCGGCGGCCTTACACTGTGGTGCTCTTCGATGAGATCGAGAAGGCGCACCCCGACGTGTTCAACATGATGCTTCAGGTGCGAACAAAATATTGTATTAGTATATTAAACTAAAATTACAATAGACAATCTCTGTGCTTTGCCATTAGCGAGCAACTTGTCCGGGGGAGCGGTAAAGCACGTATGCTGTCCGCGGTTCCAAGACACGCCCACATTGTTTATGACGACGCCTTGGATATGTTCATGGATCAACTTTGACGGAGTGACAGGAAGTCGCGACCGGCAATCCGTTGGGCGTTCACAGTTTCTTTTCTCTTCGTGAAGGTTCGGGCTTCTGGTATAATTTAGTACACGGTGTAACCTACTTATTTCTGGAAAAGGAAGGAAGCCCTCTTGTCTGCTTTAAAAAAAAAATTTGGCGTTTTTAGTCCCGCCTCCTCCTGTCTTGTGCCTTTTGTGGGGTCTTCCCGCGACTTCTTGACATCCTCTTGACATCTTCTTGACTGCGACACGCATTTGACTGTGACACGCGTTATTTACCAACACAACACAACTGCATCGCAACTCCAGATTCTGGAGGATGGTCGCCTGACTGACTCCAAGGGCCGCACCGTCGATTTCAAGAACACGCTCATCATCATGACGTCCAACGTGGGCGCGTCCGTCATTGAGAAGGGCGGCCGCTCTATGGGCTTCTTCCTGCGCCCTGATGACGAAGACATGGAGCAAGACATGTCGTACAGCCGTATCAAGAGCCTCGTGAACGAGGAGCTCAAGTCGTACTTCCGGCCCGAGTTCCTCAACCGTCTGGATGAAATCATTGTCTTCCGCCAGTTGACCAAGAAGGAGGTCAAGCAGATTGCGGATATCTTCCTCAAGGATGTGTTCAAGCGCGCCGAGGAGAAGGGCATCAAGATTGAGGTGACGGAGAAGTTCAAGGACAGGTGCGTGCGTGTGGTTTGCGGTCCTGCGCGACGGGGTGTGGGTGTTGCGTTTTGCAAGAGTCGAATTTGAAGAGACGTGCGGCGGGAAGACCGGCAACAGCAGCAGCAACAACAGTGGGTTATGAGACGTAATAGTATTCCATCTATCACTGAATCTACAGCATTGGGACGGACAGCGCAATATCAGCACATCGGTGACGGCGCGTTGAGGGACGAATTGTCAATCGGTTGCTTTGCATCTTCCTTTCCGGCTCCACCGGCGGCAATACCGTCCACTGTTTGCCCATATACCCCCCTTTCCTCACTCGACTTGAGGAGTCGTCCGCACACGGATGGATGCTCTGCCTTCATATCTACATATTTATTTACCTAGGCCCTAGCAGTGCTCCTCAGCGCCCTTATCTTCCTTTCACTACCGTCCTTTCCGTTTTGCTTTTGTGAATGTTTTCCATCGTGGATTTTTTTTCCTCCTCGCCGCGTCTGTACAGGCTCGTGGACGAGGGCTTCAACCCCACGTACGGTGCCCGTCCATTGCGTCGCGCCATCATGCGTCTCATAGAGGATTGCCTGGCGGAGCGCATCCTGATGGGCGACATCAAGGAGGGCGATGTGGTCATCATGGATGTGGACCCAGATGGCTCCATCGCGGTGCTGGCTGGTGACAAGAAGATGCGTGCCGATATCGACGCTGTGCCGGCGGGCATTGCCTAATTTGGATGGCCCCGAGACTGTCGGGAAGGGCTGGGCAATCAATCGTGTGCAAACGGTACTGCTTTGAGAAGTTTTAGAAGGTTTGCGCCTTGAAACACCCGTCGTTTGGTTTGGTGTGAGGAGGAGGTTGGCGGAGTCGCCACGTATGTATGTCAGGAGGCAAAGAATTTCGTGTGCTGCTGATTACGGACGGAAGCTATAGGGCGCTGGGTGCTGTATGAAGCTCTGGTTGCGGTGTGGATGTTACGTAAACGTATTTATAGAGTGTGACCGTGATGGTGGAGAGAAGGGTAAGTGGCCGTGTTTGTTGCGGGTTGAAGGGTTACGAGAGTTAGCTTAGCAGCTTGTTTGTATGATGTGTCTGTTGTTAAGGGCAGACGCCGACGCCGAAGCTGCTCCAGGAGGGATTTCTTGTCGCCGTGCGCAAATGCGCGAGGTGGCTGCTGATTCAGCTGGGGCATGGACTTCATGCAACATGGTGGTGGTATGGTATGGCGGGTCTCTGGTGGGGTTGAAACCCTTTTAACCCTCCGTCCTACCGCCGTGTCTGATTGCGCACGCGGTAGTTATGTCTGTGAGGAGGGTCAGGCTCCGGTCCGCGGCCGCCCATTACAGCCGGACTATCCTGGCCTTGACCCAGCTGGGACGTACGAGCTGGATGCTGTAAACCGGAAGAAAGCTTTCCTACCCTGCTGCCCTCCTGTAAATGTAGATGGAAAGTAGGCTTAGCGGTCTGCGCGCATATGTCAAGGCCGCGATTTCACGAAAGGGCTATTGGCGTACAAAACCCCCCCACGGCATTTTACGGTCGGCCCATGTTCTGCACTGACTGTCGTACATGACGTGGATGATGTCATGAGTTGTTAGTGGTTGTTCATTTCCGCTGTAGATGCAGAGACTGTTTTCGTGTCTTCCTACCGTCTCATCGTAGAGTGAGGAACAAAAAGAGGCGTAAACCGCCTTTGCTGATTGTTTGTCCGCTGGTTTAAGTAGTCGCCGTTTCCTTTCCTTCGTGTGTGTGGGGCAAAGTAGCCTCACATGATTTGTGCGTCTGTATCTTTGTCAGTGTTTGGTAGGCACAGATTTCATCTGGGCGGCCCGGGAGGGGGAATTAAAATTGGTCGCAGTAGGTGCGGATGGTAAATCGCTCGCCTACACGAATCCGCAAGGGGTTGGACGGCTGCGACATATGTGCTGTACTGGGGTCAGCTGGAGGTGGTGCAAGGGCCATGTATGAGTACGTCCGATGTGCGCCGTGCCCACGTTTTCCGGTTCTTGAGTTCTTGATTCAGGAAGGAGGGGGAAGGATATCCCACAATCCCGATTGCATGTGTGGGAGGCGGGTCAGTGCTGTGTTGAGCGAACACGAAGACGTCAGCTGGTCTACCTTACATGCTGATTCAGCTTTCCGGTTGTGTTCAGTGGCTGGGGAGGAGTGGAGTGCAGTCTTGTGCAACAAGCTTGTTACCCGGACTGCATGTTGTCATGGACGGAGTGGAGCTCATGAAGGCGATGAGGTGGCGGTCCGTTGCCTGCCATCATCGTCTTAGGGTCAAAATACAAAGCAAAGGCACATCAAAACAGTACTACAAGTACATTCTCAAGGTCATCCTGTAGGGCGTCAGGTTGACATCGCCCGATGTCCTGTTACACACACGCACAATCTCGTTCTCCGGCCTTTAAGTGGGGGGTTGCAATACCAGCTGTGCCGCTGCCGATGGGCCGTCGGCGTGCGAGCAGTGTTCCTTGACGATTGTAGGCAATACCTGTCCAGCGGTGCACCGAGCCGGAGGTGATGATTTTGAGGTGTATGGGAGGGAGAGAGAACAAAGGCTGCGGAAATTTAGTGACGATAGTTTGTTCTGCGGAAGCGAAGCGTCTTTATGTTCCCGGCTGTGTATTCTTCGTGGCATTGTCGCGCGTCGCCCTTAGTGTCGAGAAATATGAATGTGAGTGCTGGAGTTGCCCATGATTTGTTACTATGACCGTCGACATTCGGGGCGCGTACACAGCTGACTGCGATTCTGTCTCCCGGCTACATGCATCGTCGAGTGCAAGAGGGTTTACAATACCGTCGAAATTATGGTCACATTATATTTACACATTACAGGACTCGAACGATCAGTTCTGGTACGTTCGCTTCTCCTGCCGTTCGTTACACTAGGCGGTACTTCAATCAGCCGCTTGGGTTCACTATCGTTGTAGGGAAAGCGCCTGGTATAAAGGCAACTCGGCGCCAGTGTAGCCGGAACAGAGGCAGGACTCTCCCTCATGGCCAGGAAACGACGACCCACGCACCAGACCAGGGGCAGGGCAGGACTTCCAGTGTTCTGTAATGGATGTTCCCATGGCCTCTGGAGAGCTCCGCATAAAACCCCTACCTACTCATAAACCCTGCCTGCCTCAGTCCGAAGGAAACGGGGATAGCGCCACTAGCTAGCTCCCGCGGTCACACGCAAACATGTGCAAAGCTCCAATCCAACCCTACTACCTACCCTAACACCCTTAGTACGAAAACAAGTTAAACCTGGAAGTAGGCATACGACCCCACCTCGCCCAGTGCCCTTCGTCCTGGGTGCGCCGTTGGACGCCCTGTTCGTTTGTCTCGTTGTTCTCTTCTATTCTTCCTGCGCTCATATTACTTTTCTTAAGAAATCCGTCCCTCCCGCTCTCACGTCTTTTTACTGTATGTGCCATTATAGACCATCGTGAAAAAAAACACGTTCATACACATTGCCGTACGTTCATACGCACTGCGGCACCTAAAGGAAAAGGCCAACCATGCTTTGCGTGTCGATGGAGTTGCGGGACACGCTCTCCTCCCAGTCTTACCGAACCGACCTACCCTAACTACGCACACGGCCGACTCTACATGTGTATGCACACGCTCATGACCCAACGGCCTCCCCTGGAGCCATCAGGCCCTTCTGACCACGGTATGGTGTTGTCACGTGGCCTCTCCCGTGGTCGTGTACGACATGGTCGAGTGGTCTCTTAACTAAAAAACCACGCACTGAACACAAACATAGATACACGCACACAAAAAAAAACTCAAACATATGGCCCTGGAAGGCTTCAGGATTGACAAAGACTGGGTTATAAATCCCGCAACAGTTACAGGGTGGAGGGTGGAAGCAACCCCAACTCAATGGACAAGTGATAGACCTTGATGCTGTGAGACCTTTGAGCCTTCCCATCACCTCGCCAAATCAGTTCAAGATTCTCTCGTCCTTCAGCTCCCCCGTCATTACCTCTTCAGGGCAGTCGCCGCCACCACCGTCGCCCCCCCCGCCGCCGGCAGCAGCAGCAGCGGTTCCTTCTCCAAATCCCTCTCCCTCTCCTTCCCGTCGCCACAGCCACCACCGCCGCCGCCTCCCAACATCCCCTGTGGCTGTGCGGAAGCGCCACCGGCGCTAGCCGCCCTGCTACCCGCCCTGCTGCCGCTGCCGCTACTGCTACTGTTCTTGCTACTGCTATTGTTGTTGTTGTTGCTGTCTGTCAGTAACAATTGCGCCCTGCTGCTCGCCGCTGGCTGCATGGTGAGGTAGGTGTACCAGGCTATTCCGGACATGGTCACCGCGATACCGAGTAGCCGCTTCCAGGGCATGGAGTCGCCGAAGATGAGGCAGCCGCCCGCGAGAATGAGAACCTGTACGGATGTACACCGGGGAACAGAAGCAGCAGCAGGGGGAAAAGATGTATGTATGTATGTATGTATGTATGTATGTATGTATGTATGTATGTATGAGCTGTTCCCCAAGCAACCGATGTTCTTTCGGAAACCCCCAACCCCCCGGAAGGCCCCATAAGGGTTCCCGCACCGGGACCGCGTCCTGAATGCCCGCACTTCTGACCCTTCGCACAGCCACAGCTCCCCTCGCCTGGGTCCCTACCTCTACCCAGCCAACCTCTACCTCTACCCAGCCAACCCCCTTCCCACCCTTCCTGCGTTTCTTGATGTAGAGAACGTTCCCTACCACTGACCCGTGCAGCAAAGTTTACGCTCCCCTCCTCTTTTTTTACCGTTTTTGAGTGCCCCACGACATTGTACGTGAGGCTGGAGGTCGCTCCGATGACCAGGAAGGTGGACAGGCTGACCAGCAGCCCAAGCAGCCCCGAAACCACGATGGCAGCCACCGCAGCGGGCCGGTAGCTGTAGCCCAGGACGGTGTTGGGTCCGGGGTGGGCGAAGCCAATATCGTCCAGCAGGGGGGCCAACACAGCTAGAAGGACCGTGGCCTTGTCGGGGTTGTAGGGGTTTGAAGACACGCACGGGGATGGGCCGAGGTGGCGGGGGTGAATTCCGTACGCAATTAATCAGTACGCAATCGTACGCAATCGTACGGAATTGCGTACGGAATAACGTAATTGCGTTCGGTTGTTATTAGTAATAAATTGCTTGCATACGAGCAAGTACTGGGGTCGTAGCTCAAATGGTAGAGCGCCCGCTTAGCATGCGAAGCTGAGCGCCGTACATAGTATGCGGGAGGTAGGGGGATCGATGCCCTCCGACTCCAATTTTTATTACATGTTAACATTTTAAGTTGCCTTGGAAATTTTAGGAATGATCCCGCCAAGGAGCAGCATATGAACATCCCTCCAACTACGAGGGCGCATGCAACCCCGCGTCGACGCTGATGGAACCAACCTACAACCTGTCGAGTGGCATTTGCCGAGTGCCCACTGCCGACCGGCGGCGGAGCTGTGACAGCACCGTTGACAGGGCACATTTCACCGGATGCTGATGGTGGTGGTGGTGGTGGTGGTGGTGGCTGCTCAACCCGAAAAAGCCATTGTGACTCCGCAGAAATCGCCCATAGAAGGGTGATGAGAAGAATTAAAGTGCCCCTAAACTGCCAGGCTAGCTGTCCTGAGCTAAACCCTAAACCCTAAGGATTAGCCTAAACTGACCCCCTCCTGCTTCACACAATCACATAAACAGAGACTGTGTCCCCCCCTGCACCTTGAGAGGCTTTTCCGGCAGCTAGCTGCTAACACCATCAATACACATATACACATACATGTATGCTATATATGTTACATTATATACTACTTATTATATTATAATATTATATATTTATGAATTGAAAGGTCATTTCAGCGCCTGAAACGGTGGCCACATAGCAAGCGGGCAACAGATCGTGCAGAAGCAGCATCATGGCAAGGTTCAGTACTCCGAAGAAGCTGGGGGGCCTGAGGGTTGAGGGATGTGCCCTCACGGTCTTCGCGACTACGGTTGCAGCACCTACGTGGCTGGCGGCTGGCGGCCTGGGGGGACGGAGGAGTCCTCCCCCAGGCCGCCATGTCCCCTGCACGCTCCTTAAGCCCTACACGTCGCCAACCTCCCTCCCGACCTGACCCGGCTGATCGCCCCTCCTCACCCGCTTTCAATTATGGTAAGGATGCCCCGATGGACCCCGAGTCCGCAACACACCTCCCCCCCCCTCCCCCTCCCCTTCCCCCTCCCTCCTCCCGAAAAGCTCTGAACCCCGAGCCCCGAGAGCCCTGAACCACGGAGTTCTCCCACAGCCCACTAAAGAACTCCACCTCCTCAACCCCATCCCCGCACAACCTAATTTGACACACACACCCCTACCCACTCCAGCTCTGCAGAATCTCCCCCCGTCGCCCCTCCCCCCACTCGCTAGCCCTGAATTTGCTCCGACCCATCCCCGCCTCCCCACCCCATCCCCCTCACACACACGGCCCGGCAAAATCCCGAATAGCACACACTGCATATACATACCGTACCTGCGGTGTGTAGGCAAGTAGCAGCTGAGAGCTATTCGCCCGCAGCTCTCGTTGCTTCGATCCCGCCCAGATCTGGTACAGCGCCGTCACCACCACGGAGCCCAGCCCCACGGCGACTCCGACCAGGTTGGACACCGCCACCGTGTCCGTCACGGCCGCCGCCGCCACGCCCACACACACCACCACCACCGCCAGCAGCACCCGTAAGGACTGAACCTTACGGAACAGGAGGAACTCCAAAAAGATGACGGTGGGGGTAATGGCGATCTGGAAGGGTGGGGGTTGGGGGGTGGGGGGAGGGGCGGTTGTGAGCTCACAAGGACGGCATGGCGATTGGAAGGGGAAGGGTTCCGGGGGTTAGGGGAGTCGGCGATTTGAAATAGCGCGGGGTTGATCGAGCGCGTGTATTACGGGGAGGGCGGGTCGCGATTGTATAAACTGCAAAGTTGACACAGAGCAGCTGTATCATGGGAGGGGGGGCCCCTTCCTAGCACAGCGGGGTCCAGGGGCCCACAACGCACACCGCGGAGTTGAGAGTAACTAACAACGTAGGCATGGGAGGAGGGAGGTTGGGAAAGGCTGGACTTCGGGTGGACTGCACCTCCGCAAGCCTGTTGCTCGGGAGCTGCTGGAGGTGGTGCTGGGGGCTGTCCCATCGACCGGCCCATCGATCCAGATTACTTCTTCTCGCACAGGAGATGTCCATCTCCATCTCTAGCCAGTCTACCTGTATTTTGTATGATTACTAATTAGTATGCAAAGGATATCAAGTGCTGTCCATCTTCTGATTGCCGGAATTCCGGTATCGTAGGTAGTCGAACACGTCCGGGCTCCGCGCTGACCCAAATCACAGCAGGCTGAGCTGCATCCGCTTCGCAGTCCGCACGTTGACCCAAATCACCGCAACCCGACGGAAACCTCAATATCTTCTATACGAAGGTCGGTTGACGCGCCGGTCGACTCCGCCTCCGTTAACCAGCGCGGTTTCGGGCTTGCTAGCTGGTTAGCTGTCGAGCGCCTAGCGGCCATACCTTTAAAATCTGGTAGAATCCGACGGTATTTAAGTTCAAGGAAAGGTTATTGAGCACAATGTAGCCCACGTAACCCAGCGCCAATGGAGCGATTTCCAGCGGTGTGAAGCTCTTCGAGTCGAAAAATCCAAGCTGCTGCATCATAATCATGCCCAGCCATGTGAACAAGGTGTGGATCAGCGTCAAGGTAGTCACGAACTTGAAACTACAATGCAGAAGGCGGTGGCAGGAGGGGGAGCACACCTTGCCGTGCACATGATCACCGAAGGCAAACTGAAGAAAAGAAATCTACGTACTATTTCAGTCCGCGAAACACAGGCGGACTATAGCTAAACTACATACAATTGACAGTTCAACGCCGGACCATACGCGAACCTTACCAGGCCCCCAACCGTGTATTTCTCAGCTGTTCATAGAAAAATGTATCGCTTTGCCCTCCACAGTTGTGCAGGCGAGCGCACAACCGCCATCCGAAGAGCTGTCACGACCCTCCCCAAACGGCTGCGAAAACTTACTGGTAGACAGCAAACACAATCTTGTTTGCGAAGACGATACTGCATGCTGCAAAAACATTTAGAGCTATGTATATGATTTTAATGTACTGTGGAGTTCCAGATGATTTGAAAGTGGCCGCAGCAGGTGAACCCTTCTCCTCAGCAGCAGCACACGGCTTAATGACTGAAGACATCCCTAAAATACTCAAGCCGCTGGAGCTTTTTAAAAGTTTGTTCGTAGGTTTCATTTCGCCCTGGCAGCCAAAGCCTACTCGGTGCTCTGCAATGGCGGAATTACTGCCTGTACGGGAAAACTAGCATGCAAGGATTTTAGCGTTAATGCTGTGGTCTCATTTCATTAACGAACGGAACTGCATTGTAATAATTTACGGCCTGTAACCTGGTCATAACTTGACATGACCTCGGGACAGGACTGGACCGGTCCTGACTGTGACTACAAGGGGTGAACGCGCATCGGCGAGAACGAGAGCTTTTCAGGAATCAATGCACATGAGTTATACAATTATCTGGCTTGTCCTCGACGGACTGCTTGATGGAAAAGTTGGACGCTGTCACGCCGAGGCCATGTCGGTTGGAGCAGGAACGACAATATGATTTGGAAGGACTGGGGCCCGTTGCAGCTGCCCAGGGTTATGATAGACGTAGGGGCTCATTGTAACTGAAGGTGGCTTGGGACAATTGAAGGGATCGTCGACGTCAAGAGACAGTTTATTCCACAGTTGATCCTTATACAGCTGAACAGTTTGAATGATAGCTCAAAAATATACACCGCCATCACGGCCACGCAAAGATAAAATGCTAGTACCACGACCAAACTAGTTCAAACGACGTTGAACCCCGGTACTTAGCACGAGCACCGCTCTTCGGGCTAATTTGTGGTTGGGCATTCCGCAGCCCTCTATTCATAGGAGCGTGTGGGAGGTTGTGTGTCTCGCGGCCATCAGCCCGCTCAATCTCGGTCGCCGTTTGTTGTTCAGGGAAGGTCTTCAGGCCAATACGGCCCTGCCTACATCCGCTCCCAGCCGCATTGGATACGATGTCATCTAACCCCCCAAACCTTTGGGAGCACGTGCCTGACAACCACCCTTTCCTGTCAGTCCACGACGCAAACAAAAAGGTTGTTTGCCGTTTACCGGAATACAATGAGGAGGTCTATGGGCTCAGTCTGAGCCAGGTATCTTTTTTGTATGAACGTACTAGCTGAGGCTTTATGTCCAGTGAAGTTAGTACGGCCTGGCCGAGTTCTTTTACCCGTTCGTGGTTGAAATGACGATGAAAAAATGGATGGTGCAACCCTAAGTCATAGCTGGAATATGCTTTGATTATGTGGAAGAGCAACTTGATTGAATCACGGCAGGAGGATGTTGCCGGGGTGCTAGCCGGGATTTGAGGTGGGTGCTTCCCCTGGTGTGAAACAGCGGGATGGGTTATCATTGTGACTGTCTTGAAATGGTAGGCGCATAGCGCTCAGGACTTCTGCGCTATGCGACACACGACACGGTGGTTGCGGCGGTTGCAGCGTTGCAGCCCCGAACAAAACCTTATGTTTATGTGATATTGTCTGCAAACATGTACAGGCTTGTGAGTCTCCGCCGATGTGCAAGCCTTGTTACATACTTGTGCATGCCTGCGCTTTTTGGGCGGGGCTCCAGCGCGAAGCACCCAGGGGGCCCACGCCCTGTAGGATTGCCCATGTCCGTGTGTGTGTGTGTGTGTGTGTGTGTGTATGTGTGTGTATGTGTGTATGTGTGTGTATGTGTGTGTGTGTGTGTACATTTGTCGTTTGTACATTTACTTCAGCCAATGCTCGGGGCCTCCGAAGACTTGCAGTGTGCCGCGATGAAGCTCGCGGCTGTGGGGCGGAAGCATAGCTCCCACAGCATCAGCACTGCTGCAACAAGCACAGCTCCCACCACGTTGACACATCAATTGTTACACGTGCCGCCATAGCTACCGGCCTGTACGGATGCAGGGGGCCCCCGCCTTTTTTCCGGCTTCAAGGAAGCCGACACCCGACTTGTCATTGCTGCTGCTGCCGCGGCGGCGGCGGCGGCAGCAGTGATAATTTACATGTCAGTCGTGGGAGTTCAGAGTGTGCGACAGCCCCCAAATCAGTTACGTCATTTCACCTGGGCCGCCGCGCACACGACACGCGGAATCCTGACACCGAAGATGCCAATGTGCGCTTTTGATTGAACTGAACCTTGGGGTGGGGTTTCCGTACTTGGCCGCTGTGATGGGGTTTCCGTACTTTCCGTACTTGCCCGCTGTGGTGTGGCCAGATGCGACAGGTTGTAGGGGCCCGCACAGGGGTGGTGGACTCCCGAGCTTCCGTACGTACTTCGGTGGCAGCAGCAGTGCTGCCGAGGCCACTGGGCTTGCTTCGTGAGGTCTTTGTGGTCTCACTACGAATAAGTTGATAACCAGGGGGCAGGCAACCCTCCCTTTGTTTCGATGTGTGCGTGTAGTGATTTAACGTCGTGTACAACAGGTTTACTTTGTGCGGCACCTGGAAGTGTGGCACCTGTTTCCGGCGCTTGCACGTCCTTTTATGCAAACGTTCGAATGGGTGTACGTGAGTGCGGTGTGGGTAACGCGCGCTGTTCTTTTTGCCTGATTGATCTCTCGGACCAAAGGGCCCTTTGGTCGGTGATGGCTGGTCTCGGGAGGAGTGTTAGCTGCGGACACGTGTATGATGTTGTGCGGCGACCACGTAGAGTCCTACAGGTCCTACAGGTTGAAGGGGCTTCGCTGGACACTCGTTACACTCCATCTGGGTAACGCAACAGAGGTGTAACACACACACACACACACACACACACACATACATTCACACATACAGCTGCACCCCGGCGTGAGGAGGGACCCAACGTAGTAACGCAGCTGTAGTAACGTCGCCTCGCGGTCGGGTCCACTGAACCGAGCGCCATGCAGTCATCCACCATATTAAGATTTTCAGCTACTGCCAAATAAAAAGCGCCCAACCCGCGGCCATCACCAACATGCACCCAATCTAAAACACCTAACACCGCCTTAGCGGCAGTGGGTTGGTGAGTGAGTTTCATGAATGATGCCCGCCCCGGCAAAATTTTCTATGGTCTATAGACCGTGCCATGGTATCATAGATAGACCTGGAATAGATGGCCTATATATTATACGATTATAGAGATTTAAAAATCCTAGCTATAGGCATGCCTGTCCCGACCGGCTCCATCACTCCACTTCCACACTTTGTCCGGAATTATTATATGATTGCCCCATTGGAACCACCTGCAAATTTCATATTGTATCACATCACGTGATTACTCGCGTCGCTCCTAGCTAGCTAGGTAGGTAGGTAGGTAGGTAGGTAGGTAGGTAGGTAGGTAGACAGAAAGCCATGGGGCGCCGCATGCAGCAGCCACAGAGATCGCTCATCACTCACAAGCGCTCGCTTTTTCCGCCACAACATTGGCATTTATTTATTGGTATTGGTAGTAGCAGCAGCAGTAGCAGCAGTCTACCATTGGCGAACCGAACTACCTGTACATGAAATACATATATATCTCCAACAAGCATCGCACCATGTCCACCACTATAATGCCGACATACACATGCCGCGATAATCGTTCGGCACGTGGTGGCTCTGCATGTATGTAGGTATGCATGTTTATGCCTAACATGCCGTCGGAGGAAAAAACACGCAATCGCACAAGATACACGTCTTTTCACGCGCACGCGTGCACTCACTCAATATCTTCCTCTGTCTGCTCCTGTCCGTAGGGCCCGATGCCAGTGGGCCGTATCTAGAATATACATGAATAATGCAGGGGGACTGTTTTGGCCGTCGTCGCGATTCACGAACATCATCATCAGCAGCTGCACTTCTCAACAGATCAGCAGAAAAGAAAGATGAGGATTAGTTTTTGTTTGGCCACCCAACAGTATAACCTATCGCGCTTCGACAGCTCGAATGATGTTGCTGCTGCGTACGACCAGTTCGTACATATAGATACATATGTGTACATACATACATACATACATACTACTATACACAGTCCAGGCACTACTGGTAACGCATACACCGATGCCCCCGGAGGGTTCGGGATCGAGACCTCTCAGGGTGGAACATCCTTCCGATGGTGGAAGGTAAGAGTGCCTCTAGTCGGAAGACGGTGGTGACCTGGGATAAAGTTGACTCACGAGCCAGCCAGGAATGGAGTTGAGCCGCTGTTGATCCGGCAGATTTCGTTGGATGCTGGCGGTGGGTGCGGAACCTGAGCAATCCACTGAGAAGTCGGCTCGGGTGACTGGATGAGGGTGCCCCCTAATACCGGGGAAAGCCGGGTCTGCCGGGTAGCGGCCGCAGGGTGAAGATGTGACCCCCCTGTCCCACATAAGCCGGTAACTGCACACAAGCCGGGCAACAGCCAATCTGCATGCACCCATCATCATGCACGCGTCGCATCCATTTTTGCAGCCATCATGTATGGTTTGCATCCATGCATATGAAACGTATGTATGCATGTATGTATGTAGTGCCCGCAATAGCAGGGTTGCTTGTAGACATGCGCGCACGAGTGGCCTCATACATACATACATACATACATACATACGTACATACATACATAGTCGGGGTCGGGAGCACACAAGACTAACCGACTTGTGCTGTGTGCTCCCGACCCTTGCGCTGTGTTTCGGCTCCGGCCCCCGGCTCTCGCGGCCCACAGTGTAATCGAAGTCATACATACATACATACATACATACATACATACATACATACATACATACATACATACATACATACATACATACATACATACATACATGTCCGTTCGTAGAAGAAGAGATCGTCTAGGGCCTTGTCTGTAGTAGCTGCCTGTAGTAGCTGGCCACTGAAAATGCCTCTCAAGCTGAAACGTACCTGTAGACGTTAGGTGTGCCGTACTATGTACAGATACTACACTGCCGTATAGTACGGCACACACATAGCCTACTACAAACACGGGCTAAGGCGCTGTGCCAGCATCTTCTCAGCGGCCACCCAGCTACTACAATAGCAAACCTACATATATGGCCCCTACCCGCCTGCGCGTGATAGCTCCATCCATCCATCCATCCCAACAGACAACGTGGCCAGCCAAGAGAGGCGAGCAGAGGCGAGCGAACCATGTTCAGCAAAACTGATTGCTGCATGTGCTCTCTCAACCAATCAATAAACCAACCAATCAGTAAATCAATCGCAGCACCGCCCTGACCTGCCTGACTGATGTAACACCACCTTCACTGGCCACCAAACCTGCAGCACCCTACCTACCTACCTACCTACCTACCTACATACCTGCGGCAAACAGCCATCGCCCCGCCCCGCAGTTTTTATCACTGAACTATGTATGCCGGTTACTGTCCACTGTGGCATCCAGCATTACTGATGCATGGACAAACAGCAACTGCCAACTGCCAACGAACTCCATGGACATAGCAACGTACAAAGAAATCCATGCATGGACATACAGCTACTGCCAGCGAGCTGCGGTTGGTGTCCTCACACACCATGTATACCACCCATTACTTATCATGGGCAGCTCAGATAGGTGTGCTCTACATCCCCCTCCCTCTCCTCCTCCTCCTCCATCTCCACCTCTTCCTTCTCAACGCCCGAAAACCAGCAGCAGTAGCAGCGGCAGCAGGAGTAGCAACAGTAACAGCGGCAGCAGCAATAGCAGCACATTAACCTCTAATCCCACCTGCTCCACTCGCCCGCCCACCGCCCTTCACTCAACCCCCCTCATAATCCTTGCATGCTACCCGAACGAGCGAGCTAGCAAGCTAGGTCCATGTGCCGTAACGGAAAGAAGCGGCGGCCTATGTGACTGTATCCCCCCCCTCCTCTTCACATCAGCATTTGTGCCGGCGGGGCGGAGTGTGCCGAGTGTAGAACGTTGTGTTCGTTCTTCTTAACGTCCGTAGATGACAAGTGCATATATGTGAAAAATGTATGTATGCATGTATGTATGAATGTATGTCTATATGAATTCTTCAAAAGAATGCCCTCGTGCATTTGTGCCCAGCCGTGCAATGGCCCGGCTGGCCGTCTACCCCACGTGGGCACGTGGGCTTAGCCCCGTTCGACGACACGGACAGCTAGATGGCCTAGCAGCTAGATGGCCTAGCAGCTAGATAGGCTTGGCGTAGCAGCTAGATAGGCTAGCAGCTAGATAGGCTTGGCGTAGCAGCTAGATAGGCTAGCAGCTAGATCAGGATTTAGGCCACCAGCTTAGGCAATCCCTCGCTGTTGCTGTTCGCTAGCAGCTTAGGCAGCAACTCGTTGTTGCTGCCCTCCGTAACGGCTACGGAGTGCCGCCGCATACGCCCCAACGACCCCCTCCCCGTGGGGTTCTCCAGGGGGGCCGCCCGGCTGAGAGCCTCCAGGTTCAATCCCGACCCGGACCCCGACCCGGACGCCCTCCTCGCCTCCTCAGAAAACAATCCCCATGACAAACCGGACCCCGAGCCCCTCCGGACCTCCGCACCCAGCCCCAAACCGCTCAAGGTGGGCCACAAACCCAAACCTCCACAGCCCGACGGGGAACCTCCTCCCGACGCTCCCAAACCCGACCCGGACCCTCTTCGCGCCTCTGTCCCCAGACCACCTCCTCCACATCCAGCCCCGAAACCCATTCCGCTCGTCCCTACCCCTGCCGCCGCCGCTTGAGCTGCCGCGACTGTCGCTTGCCCGGCCACTACCGCCGCCTCCGCTGCGGCCGCTGCGGCCGCCGCCGCTATCCCCCACAGCCGCTGCCTGTGCTGCCCCCCTGGACCTCCGCGGCTCTTCAACCTCAACCGCTCCAAACCCGCCTCCGCCGCCCGCGTGTCCGGATGGCTTTTCCCCAGTACTCGCTCCATCCCCAACACAGCCCGTCTGTACAGCAGCTCGGCCTCGTCGTACCGCCCCAGACACGTCAGCGTGGCTGCCAGGCCGCTCGCCGCCGCCAGCGTGTGCGGGTGGTCGGGACCCAGCACCCGTGCCATTCCTTCCATTGCCCGCCGGTGCAGCGCCCGCGCCGTGTCGTACCGCCCTGCTGACTGTTGCAGCTCCGCCAGACCGCTGACGGAGGCGAGCGTGTGCGGGTGGTCGGGACCCAGCACTCGATCACGACCCGCCAACGCACGACGATGCAGAGCTTCAGCCTCCGCCAGGTAAGTGTCGACGGCGGCGGCGGATGATGACTCGCCGCGGCCCGCCGCTAGGGACTGTAGCAGCACCGCCAGGTTGCCTAATGAGGCAAGCGTGTCGGGATGGTCGGGACCCAGCACCCGATCACGGCCCGCCAGTGCCCGCCGCTGTAGCGGCTCGGCCTCGGTGTACCGGCCCAATGACTGCAGTACATTAGCCAAGTTGTCAACAGACCCAAGGGTCTCGGGATGTTCGTCACCCAACACGCGCTCACGGCTTTCCAGCGCGCGGCGATGCAGCGGCTCCGCCTCGCCGTACCGCCCTTGGTCGTACAACGCATTGGCCAGATTGTTCACTGACGCCAGCGTGTCGGGGTGATCCGGACCTAACGTCACCTCTCTGCCGTACAGCGCCCGCCGATGCAACCGTTGCGCCTCGTCGTACTGACCCATGGAATGCAGTACATTTGCTAAGTTATTCACCGACGCCAAAGTGTCGGTGTGAGTAGCGCCAAGCACGCGCTCCCTGCCGTACAGCGCCCGCCGGTGCAACGGCTCTGCCTCGTCGTACCGACCCTCGTCGTACAGCAGGTTGGCGAGGTTGTTGACGCATGAGAGGGTGTTGGGATGGTCAGTACCCAGCACGCGCTCCCTGCCGTACAGCGCCCGCCTGTGCAGCCCCTGGGCCTCCTCATAGTCCCCTTGCGTTTGCAGCAAGATGGCGAGATTGCTGACGCACGTTAGCGTGTCGGTGTGGGAGGAACCGACGGTGGCTTCCAGGTGGCGTAACGCTCGGCGGTACAGCGACTCCGCCTCCGCCAGCTGTCCGTACATGTGACACAGCCATGCGGCGGTGTACAGTCTGTTGACCAAGTCAGCGGCGGCGGCTGCTGCCGCCGCCGCCGCTGCCTCCTCCTCCTCGTGCTGCGGCGGCACCTGCGCTACCGCCCCCCTGACGAGCGCCTCTTTGAGGCGGTGCGTCATTCCCTTGATGCCGCCGGCGGTGGGGTCCCGACGAATGTCCTCCAGGATGCGGACACGGTCGGCCTCCACACTCGCCTTGGCGTTACGCACGTCCAGATCGATGAAAATCTGAGCGGGAAAGAGGGGTGAGGGTTGCGGGTAGGCGGCTGGAGAGGGGGAGGAGGAGGGGAAGGGTGAGGAGGAGCCACTCTTCTCCAGTGGCCTCCCTGCAACGTTGTGAACCCAGCCCCCGGCCCCCCGCCTCCTCCTGCAACCCCCCTCTCCTTCCTAGCCCCACCTCCCCAGCCGCACCTTCTCTAGTGACTCGATACCCACTCCGTACGACAGCAGCCTCAGCTTCCGCTGTCCCGCCCGGCTGGTCTGCCAGGCCTCGTACAGACACCAAATCCGAGTCAGCACCAGGCCCTTGCGGTCCAACACCATCAGAGTGCCCTCGGCGTCGTGTACGGCCTCCCATAAGGCCCCCAGGTCGTCAGCGGCGTGCTGGTTCTGGAGCGCGCATGTGCGTGCACGTGTCCATGTGTGTTTGTTTGTGGATGGGGGGGGGGAGGGGGAGGGGAAGGTGAGTGAGGGGAGGGGAAAGGAGAAGGCCCTGGGAATGCTGAGGAGTGGTTGAGAGGGGGAAAATGTGCATTGTTTAACAGCAAGCTCGCGTGGTGTAGTGGTTAGCACTGTGGACTCTGAATCCACCGACCTGAGTTCAAATCTCAGGGCGAGCTGGAATATATTCCACGTATAATGCTGCAATAGTGAAATGTTACACTATTGTATTTAATTTTATTTGTCTGACTTTATGACACTTTTGAGATAGATAAAGGTTCTCGGTTCGATTCCTGGGCAGACTCCCGAAATTTATCGGGAGAATTAGGTTAACAAATTGCTGCTGAGGTGTGGAGATGAGGTCTAGTTGGTCGACTAAGTTTCGCATGCTGAGTTGGTGGTGATGGCTGATCTGTCTCTGCGGATGTCGGTTGACTGGATGAGGAGGGGTCTAGGTAATTGTACCCTCCACCCACCCCCACCCACTTATCACTTATCAGTCATCACTCACAATGGCAAAGATGTCCAGCCACACGAACACGTTCTCCGTGCTCAGGGGTGGCAGCGGCTGCCCCTCGGGTCCCCGCCGCCACAGCCGCTGCTGCTCCGGGCTGAAGTGCCGAGCCAACATGTCCAGGGTCTCTGAAAAGGGTCGTACCCACGTGTGGCTGACGAAGTAGAAGGGACGGCCCTGCGACACAGCGGCGCGGTGTCGCGGGTCCGCATCCGACAGAAGCAGCTCCGCGAAGCGGCAGGAGGCGGCGGAGGTGGGCGGTCGTACGAATCGCTCCACGATATCCGCGGCGGTGAGGGCGCGCTCGCGAACTTGGTGAAGGTTGGCAAAGCGGAGGAGCCAGGCGAGCGATACGGCACACTGTACAGCACGAAAACACATATATGCAACACAGGCTTGAACACGTACATACTTACATACGGACAAACAGCATACCCTTAATCGCCCCAGTCTTCCACGCGGTAGCATCGCGGATGTCATAGGACAGGCGGATAGATAGGTGCTAACGCAGAATTTCAATCCCGCTGTTACCTTACCAAGGTAATGGTAATGGTAATGGTAATGGTAATGGTAATGGTAATGGTAATGGTAATGGCATGCACAGCTAGGGGAAAGGCAATCCCGCCGGTCGCTTTTCTGATCTCGTACGTACGGAAGGGCCCCATGCGGGCTTTGCCCGTAGAGGAAAAGAGTGGCAGGGCGGAAAAGATATTCAAGCATTGCAAACATGCACAGGTTGCACGGTGGGTGCTTCCATAGTGGCTGTGTGCGTCGCGACTTCCGCTCGGATGCACATACGCACACGTTAAAGCAACGGGGACCTAGCAGCAGCAGCAGGAGCAGCAGCAGCAGCAGCAGCACTGCCTTCTAGTGCACTTCCACGGGGTTGCTGTGCGAAATATGTAAGAACTGGTTCTCACAAATTAGACGAGTTTGGTAGGTTCACAGCTGGCTAGTCAAACAGCTGGGTCCATCCACCCAGTCAGCCCGTCGAAGCTGACCAGCTACGCGTCACGTTCCATGCAGTCAGTAGTCGAGGCAAAAAGGACACAACGCTTTTAATGAGGTTTGATACATGCGTTCAGGTTCAACGTAAGCGTGCTAAGACCTAGAAAAATATGACCAGCGAAGCGGGTGGGCGCATGTCCGGTTTCGTTAAGAAAAAGGTATTACTTTATTGGATATGCACGCTTAGCTCTTCGGATAAGAGGTTGGAGGTTGCTCCGCGAGGCTGGAAATGAGGAAGTGTACAGTTCACTCCAACGCACACGACAATTACTACTCCAGCACTAGCCACGCTTATGGTGTGGTTCAGCGCAGCAGCTCATGCTTGGCACCCACCCTTGAAACATGACCAGCAGGGCGGACTAAATCCGAAGTACTGCCCTTCCTGCGCGCTCCGCACGGCCCCTGTAGGACGACGCTAGGTGTTATTGGTAGCATACTTGGCACTGCTTTGTATCGCTAGTATCGTGTTTATCGTGAATATGAACTTGTAAAGCGGTGCAAATGCTGAAGCAGGCGCCTACTTCTAGGCATAAGGTAATGGATAGGGAGAATCCCCCGAAACAGCAAATTATAGTCAGGGTGCTCAATTGATATAAGTTGAGGAACTATCCTGCATGTAAAGTTAGAGCCAATTGAGCCAATTCAAGTGCTGATAACCGTGTACGGCTACAACTATGCATAATCTTCAGCGACTGAAGTCTTGGTAGGTAGGCATGATTCCTCCATAGTCCCTCTATAAAGGTGCAGCGAAATTTGCAGCATGGAGCCCAGGTGCAGAAATATACAAGGCTCACCACCATCCGAAATAAGTGAAATGGCTGAGGACTCCGCCAAGTACTACTAAATGCATAATTTTGACATCAGGTTTGTGTTGTGGTATGAAACGGGTATGAATTAACGGGTATGAATTAACTGTAACCGACGCTCCTAGCTGCGCGACTGCACCCGACGTGCGGCCTGAAGCAAAATAGTTAGTTGCATGGCATAGATCCTGGTGCATAGTAGTTAAGAACTTCACTGGAAATTGGGAATCGGTTCGCTCCTTTCAAATACTGCAACGCCCGGCTAACAAGCACTGCAACGACTCACGGGAAGTGGTTACCATCACGAGCCAAATGATGGGTTCCGCACAGAGCATGCGCTTGCACCTTATATGAATCTTCTGGTCGCTTTATGTCAGTGAACCTTTACAAGGCCTTTGCACAATTGCACAATACCTCAGCAGGAGCTGTTAACGGGCGTACCTCTACCCGCAGCTGGCATAATTCGGCCTCCTCTCCATCGCGAAGCATGAAGGCGCATGCTGGCAGCCCAGGGAAGAGCCTAAGAAGCAGACGTACAGCAGGTACCATGCGCACGGCACCTCAGTACGGCACCCAGTCCTATACACATATGTATGCACTCTGCCGTCTGCTAAGCCCCTTACCATACCTCTCGACATTTCCCCGCACACACACGTAATCGAAAGTCCTGGACCCTCCACCTCAATGGGCATTACCCCCAGCCCCTTAGGCGCTCCAAACACGGCCCAACCAAACTCAACACAGCCCAGCCCAACCATACCAACCACCAAGATGCTTGCCTGGGGCGACTAGGGCATCTGGGCCTATGGGGAGGGAGCTGGTCTCCTGGGGGGCTTGTTTCGGTGTTTCAGCGCCATGCATGCACGCATGGGCGGATGGATAACGGCTACACGTGTATATCTACACTCCCCGCCAACACACACACACACACACACACACGCACATGCACTAAGGGGGGGTTGCTACCAGGAGGGCCACCGGTGGTACCAGGAGGGTACATACAGACATACATGTGTACGTACACGACAAGGGCTGTGTGACGCCCCACCTATCGCACGTGTTCAACGAATGTTGTCGTTGTTGTTGTTACAGAATGGGAGGGTTCTGGTACAATGGTACCCATTTGGATTGTCTAATCTAGGATTGGACACCGTACATCACCATTCACCTTTACCACACTGTATTACTACTACTGCCATACGAACTGCAAGTCCAAGGCAGTTATATTGTGGATAGACGACATGGCGCTGCTCCTGCAGTCCTGTTGCTGCTGATGATGATGTTGCTGCTACTGCCGGCGGTGCTGGTGCTGCTGGTGTGCTGGTGGTCGCATCTTAGTTGCTCTCCTGCTGTGTATTTCCGGGATGATCCACATCGGCCCTCGCCGTACACGACGTCGTACATGGCACTGGGCCCTTACGTACCTTCAAAAGATGTACAGATGTGCGGCGAGGGCATCTCTCCGTTTGCATGTCTGTCTGTCTCTCTCTGTTCGTCTGTCTCTCTGTATTACTACTTGCCCGGTAGGAGGCTCGTTGTTAGGTGCTGACTGTACATCCCTGTTACAACCACCTTATTATTGCACAAATGGATATTGCCAGGATGGGATCACAGCAGCAGCTTAATACCCATACAAGGGCAGTAGCAGTAGTAGCAGCAGTTGCAGGGTACTCAAGAGCCCATTCCGGAATGCTGTTTCTGATGACCACCCAACCCCAAGAAGTCGATGTGCATACCCCCGCCCGCCGCCCGCCCGCCTGCCCTTTCCCCCCTCGAACGACGGCGACACATGAAATCTACTCCAGGCTTAAAACTCCATTATCAACCAAAATGATGACGATGATGGCGTCGGATTCCGGGATGTTATTAAAAGATAACGCAACGATATTATAAAGGAACAGGTAAGGTATTTGGTGTGGCGCTGCGTGGGTGGTGCAACCACAACCCGTACATATGTGCACATACATACATGCACGAGTGCTTTTATTGGCTCTCTTCAAGGTCACAACCCTTCCCAACCATCATGTGGTGGCAAACATTAACATTTATATTTTACCAACAACAACGGTAACAGCGCCTTGAAAGTAGCCATTAGGATCAATAAAATACACAAGCATTGCGAGGCACAAGCATCATCGATAAATTCTCATTTTAAGCCGCATTTGTGAAGTGAGCAGCATGTGAGCGCACAACAGGAAACGTTTTGGTTTCGGAGAAAAACAACAACGTCACTTTGAACGAGCTAAAGATACGGCATGCATGCCTCTTTTCACCCGACTGACTAGCTGCATTTTCGTTTCATTTCACCTCTAGACCACCACCCTTCCCAATGATAGTTGCTATCAAAAAAATTTCAAAACGTTTCCGTGACCACGACCAAGACCAGTAACGATAAAAGTGGACCAGGCAGTAAGAGCCATGGCATGCCGACGACATAGAAGCCATATGTGAAAGCTGCGCAAGCTGTACAACCCGCATAAAACAGAAAAGCCGGCCTGGAGAGCCAGCAAATGGAACAAATGGGGCATCTGTGATCGGGAGACAGGGTTATTGCCCGGCAGGTTGCAGGCTGCCTCCATCACGAAGCGGGGATTTGCGGCACTTGACGGCACCCACCCACCCACCCACCCGCAACTGAAACAACAGTTCTCGTACAAGATTAGTCACGAAACGCAGTACAACAGTTCCTTAGGAACCCCCAGGACATTGGAATGAGACGCCAAGCAAAGCGCAAGCACAGCATGATGGCTCTTAATCATTGCGCTTAAGTTCATGAAGGGCCTTATTCGGGTGCTTCATCTCCTTGGGTGCGGTGGCCACGTGCATTGCCACACCCGCAGCACAGCCCACCGCCGATCCACCCAATAGCGCCATGCCGTACATTCCAGCGGACCCGCCGCCGCCACGTGGCACCAGCACCGCCGCCGCTGCAAGACCCACCAAGGCCCCTACCGCCGAAAAGTCGTCCGTCCGATTCTGATTAACGTTGTAGTGCAGCCTGTAGGCTCGGTCTTCGAAACCCGCCTGGTCGATCTTTGTGAACTTGACAGCGCCCAGAGTGGCTATGTGCATATGGGGGGGGCGAGGAAACAAGGACCGCGCAAATATTGGCGTTTTGGGGGTGTTAAGGGCTGGTGGAGGAGGGGGAGATAGCTTAGAGGAACCGAGTTTTTCCGAAAGCCTTCCGTTATGTCTGGCATACAGCACAGCAAGTCGCAGCTGGGCGTGTAGAACGATCTCCTTGAATGTTAAATAGCATGTTTGATCATGGTTATGTTCAAGAGATAACCTTCATGTCAGCCAACCGACTTTACACACGTGCAGGCTCTCGGAAACTAAGGAAAGCACCGCAGAGTGTCCTTCACGGTATAAGCCGGTGATCGTTCTACATTTGGTTGCACCAGAAGCGGAAAAAAGCAGTAAAGCCCCAGCAAACACAACAAGTCGAAAGAGGAGCTTGCGTAAGGCAAGAGAAACATCACGGCATAGCTCTCACCTGAAGCCGCAGTAACCGTTAACGTGCTGTATCCCATTGCGTGGAGCAAGGACACAGGTTCGCGTACTTTCTTAAGGATGAACAGTGCTGGAATTACAGCAGCGACACCAACCACACCGCCTGCCTGGAACCCTTTTTTTAAGATGTGCCACATAAGGTAAGCAGCTGGCGAACTTGGTGCAACATATTCATCATTCATCGTTGGCTTAGCTGATGCCATCGCCCTTTGCTGTGGTGCGGCGCAACTAAGTAGTTAGCAATGTATAAACGCAGAGCATTTATTCGCTATAAGACACGGCACAGCTTGACGCCAATAAAGGGTTCAAAAGGCCCCAAAAGAGGGGTTCTCCGGAATCACTTCGTACGAATTCCAACGTACAAAAGCACGGTCTACTTTATGTAATCGAGGTTGGCCGCGTTGTGTTAACAATCGTGACTCCGAAGCGGTACGCATTAGGGCTCATAGCTCAAGAGATCAACACCGCGTCCGCTATTTTTTGCCTGGTAGCTAAACAGGGGGTACTTGTCGATAATGTGAGCGAGGGAAGGGGTCCAGGACCCTTCCTAGGGTCATCTGCATCGAGAGAAAAGTTTAGCACGGCATGCAAAGAAGTTGCCGAAAAGCTGTTTCAAAAGCCTGCGTACCGCATAGTTCGAAACTATGCCCACCCTGTCCACGCATCACAGCCATTTCCCGCACAGAAACTTACATTGCATCCTGTTCTTATAGTATAAAAGATTGCAGCGAAAAATGTAATCGCATGACATAGAATGGTCCATTGTGACCACAGAACCCGGCCATCGCTCACCACTTAAACCCCACCCGTGCTGCGTGATTATGCATTGTTTTCATGGCCGCAAAAGCATTTGGCACCTTAGACGAGTGCCATTATAAGCCCTAGTGACAGCAAAATCGTGTGCAAATGGCGTTTGGGTGTGAAAAAACGTTCTACGTGCAAAGCATAAATTTTTGCACAAGGCCAGCTTACATCTGCAGCACCTGGCAGTGATAGGAGCCAGATACGGCATGCTGGAGCACATAAGGCCGCAGCAGTGTGCGAGCAAACTTGTACGGGGGGTGCGTCTGGAACGTAGGAAGCAGATTTGAAAAATTCGTTATAGCGTTAAAGAACGAGCCGATCAAATGTGACAGGGTGCTTCGTGCACATCCAATTCCAAACGGACTTCTGTCGTCGAGTGAAATATTCCTCTCGTCGACAAGACATGAAGCCGTCGATGCGCCTCTTTTCTAAGTTTAGCGAAGCTAACAGCAGCTGGGCTCAACTTATCACCCTAAAGGAAGCGCTAATTGTGACTCTCTCAATCGGCTCGGCGTTTGTCGTGGCCAACAAGTGGGCCACAAGCGTGCAGCTTAGCGCACAGGCTGAAGTCATGGCCTCAGTCGTGAAGGCTGAGATGGCCGGCGTGAAGGCTGACATAGCCGGCATGAAGACGGACATGAAGGCGGACATGGCCGTGATAAAGACTGATATGGCCGCGATGAAGGCGACGGTTCTGCAGGTTCTGGAGGTTCTGCAGACGGCCTCGCCGCCAAAATGCTAGCCAGCACTGAGTGTGGGGCTGGGGCTTGTGCATGGCACCAATGCCAAGCTGCCGGAGCTGGTCAGCAACGGTGCACCCCCAGGCACGGGGACCAGCATGGAGGTCAGGTGCTGGAATACTGACAGGCTGCCCATCAGGACAGGCTACCCAAGCCAACAGGCTGAAGGCTGGCAAACGGTGATTGTGTCTGCTGAGCATTGAGCAGCCAGCCTGGACTGCGGACTAGGTGGCTATGTGAGCTTGTCAGTGCTGGCAGTTTGCAGTCAGGCCCCTGGTGTGACTTGAGGGGGCATGTTGGTGTGAAGGGGTGCTGTGTCACCCCCTGGCCTGTGAATGGCTGCATGTCAGGCTGTTGTGAGTGACAGCTATGGCCTGTGAAAGGCCCACTCTGGGAAAGGTTTTCACCCGTAAATTCATGTTTACCCGTAATCACGTGGTATTCACATGTAATTACCGGCCAAGACAAGTCGGGTGTCGGCTTCCTCGAAGCCGGAAAAAGGGCGGGACCCCCCTGCATCCGTACAGGCCGGTAGCTAGCACGGCACGTGTGACAATTGATGGGTGGTGTTACTGCGGTGGGAGATGTGCTTTGTTGCAGCAGTACTGATGGTGTGGGAGCTAAGCTTGCACCGGCGGAATCGTTAGCACCGCCTGCGGGCTCCACGCGAATCGCATCCATCCCGGGTGCATGCCGCATGGACAGTGCGGCAGACCGCAAGTCAGAATGCCCGTGCGGGCAAATTGCTAATGCAAGCTGAGTGAAGTTCGGTGCTGTCTGTGATGTTTATCCCTGAAGCGCCAGCGGCCTCAGCAATCCGCCCCACAGCCGCGGGCTTCATGGCGGCACACCGCAAGCCTCCGGAGGCCCCGTGCATTGGCCAAAGTAAATGTACAAACAAGCAGCTTGTGTATTTCATAGAGAAATGAAAGCAAATTATGTTGGCCTGCTGGTGGCAAGTCGGATTGCCCATGCCGGCAAATGGTAACACAAGCTGGGTGTTCGAGTTATCATACGCCGTCATCTCAGAATTCCATTATGAGATACGCGGCAGCTTTCGGGATGAAATTTAGCGCGAGAGGCGTTGATGTGACTTTGGCCTCGGTCAATTGAGGCAGCCAAACTTGTTTGTGCTCATACGATTTTTGTTGGCTACATGCGAGATATAATGTTTGGTCCGTTACACACACACGAACACACACACACACACACACACACACACACACACACACACACACACACACGGACATGGGCAATCCTACAGGTCGGGGCCCCCCTGGGCGCTTCACGCTGGGGCCCCGCCCAAAAATTTGTAAACATGCTTATTTTTAAGTTGCCAAAGCATTCCTTTTGTAAGGAAGAACATAGGTGACATTTTGTTGGTTGCCCGTGCTGGAAGTCATCCACAGGTTACATTACCCGTAATCACAAGGTCTTGACCCGTAATCCCCCAAGCCGTAATGCACAGCACCCGTAAAATTTCACGGGCTTAATTGCGACGAAGACGTGTTATGCGTGTGTGTGTGTTACATGGTTGGGTGTGTGTGACCCCATACCTGTAAGACTACCCATACGAGCCGAGGGCCCAAGGGTAATACTACAACGCCTAAAAGCCACGGAGGAAAGGAAAGCACCGCACATCAGCCCAGACTAGCGTCTAAAGGGGGTAATTGAGTTTCGGTGAGCCCACATACATTCCAATATCCTCGCCAGACGTGCGGGTTCCGATTGCATGGCCTCCAACATGCTCTGTTGATGATCGAATCCCTCTTCAGCACGAATATCATTATAGGCTGGGCATTCCAATAACAGGGGTTCACATCCTCAATTCGGCTATTAGTACCACAACAGTGGCAAAACCGCTGCCCCCCGGGGACGTGGTACTTGCCCCCTTCATGCTCTGTTTGCCTCCAAAGCCCAGCAACATAAACGAAACTGCATTACCTTACTATATGCTAAACGAGGAATGAAAACCTTAGCATGTGTTGGCCACATGACGGCTGCGGCTCCCGAAAAGGGCAGCCCCATCCAGTGCTACTTCGCCATTTGCACTCCCGGTTGCTTCCCATCTGATGGGTAGTCTACTCAACAACCAGTCAACACGCTCCTTTACCCCCACGACTTCTTGCGGTATTCCACTCCAAATGTTGCACTCCAAGAAGGAAAACAGTTGTAACATTGAGATTCCCCAACCCTCCCATTCTGGGTTGGTCAGGGCATCGGTTATCTCCTGCAGTAAAACGGCATGAGCAATGGATCCCACTTGCTTTTGAAGGCGGTTCCAGAAACGGAGGATCTGCTTCACCATGTAATATTGTAAGGGGAGTTCAGCCAGCTCCGTGTACAACAGCCTGTGGGATGGCCGTGCCGTCCCCACTACATGAATAAAATCTGCAGCTGGACTGCGCTATCCTTCAAACGGGCTTCGAACATGCCCTCCGCAAGGTTGGCTTTATCCCGCCGTCTTCCCACCCTGTCCACGACCTCTGCCAGCGCAAAAGGGCCCCACGCCTGGCAGCCATACAACAGAATTGCTCGGACTTGGGTTGCAAAACACCGCATTCGTACATCGGGGGCAAACAGCTTCATTTTGTCCAACTTTGCACTTAAGGAAAACATAGCAGACCGACCTGCATCGCCCGACCAGAAGTACCCGCTGCGGCAGCTCTGGAGCAGTGTCCGCATATGAGTGGTTGGGTGAAGGGAGCGTGGCGGGGATGCGGTGCGGGGAAGGGCGGTGCAGGCAAGGGAGGGCGGAGGGGGCGGACAGAGGAGGGTAGCTCGGAGGGTGGGTCGGACGCTGGTGAGGAAGAGGTCCTAGCCGCTGGCGCTGGGGAGGAGTCCAGCTCGGAGGACATGGGCAAATATAGCGAAGCTAGCAGCAGCAACAGTGGCAGTGGCAGCAGCGGCAGTGGTGGAAGCGAGCAGTAACATGGCAGCAGTGATGAGCGATTGGGGGTGCACACACCAGGTCGGCCCCAGGCAGGATGGGACAGACCAATCCCAATAGGTGCCGGTACATGTCATGTATCGGGGGTTTCATCCGTAGGAGTAAGCAGTAGGCACGAACCCTGCAAGTGGTGGTGAGACTTCTTGGCGAGCTCTTGCTGTATGGGGGGTGACATGAACGCTGTTTTCGAGGACGATGGTTGGGATGAATGCATCAGGCTGTCAGGCTGGCTGGTTGGCGTTGTGAGTCCAAAGCGCCTTGGTCCACAAGCATACTGAGACTTAGGCTACTTTGACAAGGGGTTCGCGTCCATCTTGAGGCTTGCCGCAGTATTTACCAGTCGTTAATTTAACACGCAGTAAGCGTCACATCGCTGAGTAATATCTGCCCGTGTAACCCGTGATAACAGGGTCTTCACCCGTAATTGTACGTGTAATTGGTTACATGCGCCCGTAATTCACTTGCAGCACCGCGTAATATCCACCCGTAATCACTGGGTATTCACCCATAATTGTGCGGGTAATCGGCTACATGCGCCCGTAATTCACCTGCAGCACCGCGTAATATCCACCCGTAATCACTGGGTATTCACCCATAATTGTGCGGGTAATCGGCTACATGCGCCCTGTAGCAGCCGGTACACAGTACGGCGCTATAAATACGCGCAGAGCGAGACCACCAGCAACTCGAGAGACCTTTTCAGCGGTCAGCTGCTACATGCCCGTAATTCACCTGCAGCACCACGTAATATCCACCCGTAATCACTGGGTCTTCACCCGTAATTGTGCGCGTAATTGGTTACATGCGCCCGTAATTCACCTGCAGCACCGCGTAATATCCACCCGTAATTCCGGGGTAGTCGCCCGTAAATGTTCACCCGTATCCTTGTGCTCAAATTACGGGACCCGTAACGTGTTACGGACCCGTAATTTCTGTCAAATTACGGGTGGATTGACCCAAATTTACGGGTAAAATGACCCCCGTTTTCCCAGAGTGGCCGCCCATCAGGCTGTTGTGAGTGGTGGCTGTCAGGTGCTGGAATACTGACAGGCTGCCCATCAGGACAGGCCACCCAAGCCTTAAAGCCTCTGCTGTGTGCCAGTAACAGCACCTCAGACCCATACATTTTACACCCAAGCAAGGGGGTATCAGTGGCAGGTGCAGACCTCCCAAATACATGTAATGGCCAATGACTCTTAGCCATGTCTGCTAGGTCCCAGAGAGACACCGTCTCACCAACAGACTTAATCTGGTTGAACTTGCCTGTGCAGGCAGGCTGAGAACGCATGGATGTTCCAAACAATGAAATGGATACTATTACCCGCTGCCTATATGTAATGCAACTCTCTGAGCCATTGGTGCCTGCAGTGGTGATTAACAGCTCCTTATGCTCTGCAATGGTGTGTTGGGACATGTTACCTTGAAGCTTGGCGCCTTCGAGGCAGTGAGGGTGGTTGAACACTTTGAAGCATTCAAGGTGGAATTCCGCCTTAGTAGCGGTAACAGAAAGGGAGAAGTGGAAGCTGCCTTGAATTCATGGGCAGGCAAGGATGGCAGGCTGATGTGCTGATACGGATTGGAGCAGGTTGCCTGCAGGATAACCCTAACTTCTATTTCCTAGGATGTATTCCTGAGCTGGCACATGGGGCCTTTAGCAGCAGCGAGGTCTAAAAGGTGGTAAAATGTTCATACTTTTCTTGCCCATATACTTGCCACCTTGATATTGTGCAATCATGGCGACCCATGAGGTTCTGTATCGATAATTTTAATTCGTACACCTAGTATATACTACCGTTCCGATACGATTCTTTTGTGATACGTGTTTTGGGGAAGGCCCAAAATTAACGCTGAAATTATTTTGATGATATGCAATTTTGGGGACGGTCACGAGAAAAATCTACAGTTGTGATACACTTTTGGTGACGGCTCCAGGGCGTCCCGCGGGCGTGCTCACACTTCGCGCGCTTACGCTTCAGCGTCTACTACCGCCAAGCTGCTATCAACCTCCGGCGCCACTCGAACGCTGGTAATGCCTGCCCTGAGCTCAATGGGAGCATTGGTGTCGAGCTTGGGTAAAAGGCTAGTAAGCTTAAGCTGTTTAGGCGCCATTCCGAGCGCGCTTTCTGAGGGTGGGCCTGTAAGCTAAAGTTCTTGTCCGACCAACTTAGGGGTAAAAGACGAAGATAACTACAAGCCAACAGCGTCTTCTGGAGGGCTTTTACTGTTGGTCGATACCGTTAACACGGTGTACGACACATTTGTGACAGCCAGTTTGGTGATGCCCATCAAATTTTGCCTAAGACCTTTTTCCACTGCTATGCATTTGGGGACGCCATACCAATTGCGTATCACAAAAGAATCGTATCAGAACGGTATACATATATGATGCAAACACATACCCTTTGATTCCCCTAAATGGGACGATAGATTACCCTTTTATTCCCTCGGACAATAACCTTGATTGTGTATTTGTAAGTCTACACATTTGTACTGGTGCCATACCAAACAGCATGCCTGTTAAACAGACTGGCACATGTGTACACACAAACAATTTTTTTATGTATGAAGCCCAATGGGAAGCAGAATAACTGAACATCGGTACCGGTGCATGAAAGAGGTGCCTACACAGCAGCTGAGAACCTGTGAACAAGGGTGCTGCCAGTGCTGACACACATGCACCCGGGTGCACCATCCGAAAATGTCCCACAGTGGCTTTGCAGAATGTGCCATTGCCCTAGGACCTTTTGCATAGCTCATCTGCATGTGTGCACTCCTACCTATGCATCATTCATTTGCACACATAAAGCAGAAAGAAACATGGCCACATAGCCCTGTGTACCAAACGAAACGTTTGACTGGCACACATCAAATCTGGTCTCCACCGTACATTAGTGCAGGGAAGGCCCTGCATACATTATGACATGGTAAGCTCCCCCAAGTACATCACTGAAACACCACCTGTTCCTCATGCAGGTCATACTAATGTCCATTAGTCCTATATTAAAAATGAAATGCCCCCAAGCATGTACTACATTTACTACATGTAAATCTGTTAGTCTGCCAGGCATGCCTTGAAGCTGCTTGTCAGCTGTTCCCAGTCCAGGAGCCACCCAATGAAATGATGCGGTCCACTCACTTCTCCACATCCTGCCAGGGCTTGCTGACACCCTCACCGCTGCTGGTGAAGCCCATCAGCATGTGGACACCCTGAAACATGAATCTGCATGGCAAGAGACAGTGTGGTGCACCATTTTGCGGGGAATTGCAGGGGCGGGGTTTGCTCGCGGGAATTGTGTCATGTGGTGGTGCATGGCGAGTGTACTGGGTACCCCAGCTTGTCGTACAGGTACATGTACTAGACACCCAGAATGGCCATAATGTATATTACCGCTGCTGGCAGCATTTAGTGCATAGACTAAAACAGCAAGGAAAGGTTTAATTTCTGCAACTATGTTTTACCTACGTGTCTGCTATGCCCTTGATAGCAAGGAAGATGCCCTTCTCTGCAGGATGGTGCCGAGCCAGCTGTCCAGTTTTTCATGTCCATTTTGCCCTCCAGTACTAGTTCAATGCCCATGCTGGTGACAGAAGAGTCATGCTGGTGCTCGCCATCCGGCTGCAGGTCCACACATGGCAAAATTCACAGTGTTCATGGTTTCAGGGTGCCGTACTTCAGCACATACATAACTTCATGGATGCTATGCAGCTGGCAGGATGAGATGTTTAAGTACATGTCGCCAAGTGACTATGGTGCTATTTAAGGATGCATGCAAAGTGCTGTTGTAATTGGACATCAACATCAAATTCAGTTGCCCGCACACCTTTAGGAAGGTCGGCTCACCTTCCAAGATTTGCTCCAACGAGAATGCCTTGATCTCCAGAATGCGCTCCAGGGGGACGTTGCTTTGCACCATCTCAATAATCTCGGCTGACATCATCAGTGTGGTGGGTGTATACACACGTTGGTGCATGCCAATCAATGGAGTGTGCTGCCGTAAGGATTGGACGGGCTCTGGGGCATCAGAGGACTCCAGATAAGGGACCACTCACACACCTACATGAAGTAGGTAGGTAGGTAGGTAGGTAGGTAGGTAGGTAGGTAGGTAGGTAGGGGCAGCAGCAGCGGCAGGGGGCAGGAACCTTCTGCACCACTGGTAGCAAGCAGTAGCAGTTGTGGCGGCTGTGGCTGTGGCTGTCTGTCTGTATGGTAGGTAGGCTATTATGTAAAAGTATTTAGGTAAGTAGCTATTGTAGCAGTCGCTCACCTGATGGGTCGACTGGCTATGCGGAAGCGTAGAGTTGACAGTCCTCGCCGAGGCAGGAAGAAGTCCAACCCAGCGGCACGCGTACGAAAACAATCTAGGCGGCGGCAGCGGAGTCTTGAACTTCGAACACCTTGTAGTCGTGATACTTCAGTGTCTGGCCAGAGCACCCCGCCCGGGTAGCTTATATCTCGGCCTACCTGCCGGAGATTCCCTACCACGGTCCTGCGTACTAGAATAATGTCGTTGGGGCCCGGGGCCCCAGCCCGTTAGGCTCGCTGCGAACAACCGCCATGTTCGAGACATGTGACGATACTCGTAACATGTACGAAACTCGAGTCGAATCGTTAACGAATTAACAGTTATTGTTAGCAGTAATCGTTAAAATATCCTAAGGGAAATGTAGCTTACTACAGCTATGTAGCTATGTCCTGTTTCAGCCCCCAGCGTGAAGGCAAGCTATTGTCTCCGGATCCCACCTCGTTTTCTATGCCTTCAAGCTTGTCATCGTCCAGGTGCTGAATCAGGTGCTTGGTGTCGACCACAGTGATGATGGCATCCAAGCGGTAATGCTCCTGCGGGAGGAAGGACGCGCCTTTGGATCATCCCTATGGCAAGAAGGGTGCTAGATAGAGCCTACACAAATTGCCGCAGGTTAGCTATGACAGCTTCAGATGTTACATACCCCCTGACAAGCATGTGCCTGGATTGAGGCTGAATGTTCAAAGGAAAGGGCCCAGCCACTGTCCATCACTGAGGTGAAAGTAGGCATCCGCTGGTGTTCAGTGTTGCGGTCGCAGCAACGGTATTGGTGATGGCCCAGAGCCTGACGCAGATGAGCACGCATACATTCGCTCATGAATGTCACGCTCATGCATGGTTTGCCATGCACTCTAGCATGTGTGTGTGCGCGCATGTGTGTTTATGACATATCTTTCTGGCTGGCCAGAGGCTGCTGCCCAGCCCCAACGAACAAGACCGCCGAAGCACCCCCCTAGGGGAAAGGGGAGGGGCGTGACTGTCCCCTCCTGCTTGACCCTTGCGTGTGTGTGTGTGTGTGTATGGGTGGGTGTGTTACTGTAGTAGCTGGCCGCTGAAAAGGCCTCTCGAGATGCTGGTGAAGCGCTTTCACGCGTAATTGTAGTTGTTCAAGCCGTAATGTGTACCAGCTCCTACGTTGCGTTCCGTTACTCTCCAAGAGGTGTAAATCGCGCTTTATTTTTGTCGTTATTTGGTGTTCACTGTTATTTTATTGTTGCTCTGGTAACGGTAATAACGGACATCAACCCCATCTGACCCCATCCAACGCCAGCATATGCTGCTTGGCTTGGTTTCCGTACCAAAGCTTTGTCTGATGACTCAATACGTAGCAGCATAACAAGTTGCACCCTGTGACTCCCGTACTGTTCGTACAACACCAGATCCAGAAGTGACACTGCCACAGCCCCCCCCAGCCCCACGCATACATACATGTCAGGTCAGGCACTACTGGTAGAGCACGCACCGATGCCTCCGGGAGATCCCGTGATCGAGACCTGTCAGGGTCGGAAATTCGTCCAATGGTGCAAGGTGAAAGTGCCGTTAGTCGATGGACGGTGGTGGCCTGGAATATAGTTAACCTGCAACAAGCTTACCTTTAATGGAACTGAGTTGAGCCGCCGTCGACCCGGCAGATTCCGTTGGATGCCGGTGGTGGGTGTGGAACCTGAGCGATCCACTGAGAAGTCAGCTAGGGTGATTGGATGAGGGTGCCCCATAATACCGGGGAAGGCAGGGTCTGCCGCGTGAAGACCGCAGGGTGAAGATATGACCCCCTTGCCCCGCACATCATACACACACGCACCTGACAAACCCCACACCCGCCCTGAATTCCCATCACCCTTACTTGCCCCCAGCGGGTTAATAATTGTCTGGCTCGTATCTGGAGGTAGGTGGGGGCGTGTCCTGGTCTCAGCGATCTGGCGTTTTTTTCACCCGGAGGTTGTTATGGTAGGCGGGTATGTAGGCCATGGTAGGCGGGTAACGTGTGTGTGTTGGGTTGTGTTACAGCGGGGGAACAAGGGAGAAGGGCCTTATGCCATGTGACAGGATTTCCCGTTCACCTCACTCCATGGACAGACGCAAGAACCGCACCACCCCGCACCGCCACCCCATCAAAACCCACACGCTAGACCCGTCCGCCCCCTCTGGCACACCCCCAGCCTCCCGACCACTAGAACCCCCTCCCCTTCCCTTTCCACCCCCCCCTGCCCCGCCCCCTCCCCTTGCCGCATTAGCCACAGAAGCCGTCGAAGAGCGCCCCCGGTTCCGCCGCCCACTCCCGCGCCCTCCCCCACCACCACCACGGGCCCCTCCCCCTCCCTCATCAGCAGCAGCACCACCACCACCGTCCGCCGAGGCTTCTACCGTTACTGCATCCGCGCCTCCTCCGCCATTGCCTGTTGTGTTTTGATGCTGCACCAGCTGCCGTGGCGGCCACTGCGGCACTCCGTACCCTGCCCGTACAACGTAGAGTATTTGTCCGCTGTCCGGCACTACGTGGTGGGGCAGTCGTACACCCGCGGTTCCCTCCGCCCCCCGCCAGTTGAATCCCCCCGGGTAGAAGAGCTGCACTCCGCTGACCTCGGCGGGGGACAGCAGCCGCATGTGCGAACCGTCCCTGGAGAGAATTGGGGGGTGGGGGGGGGAAGACGAACCACAAACGAGTGAAGCTGCTGCCAGGGCAAGAGTGTACCAGACGTAGAACTGACCAAAAGGCGTTAAAGTGCGGCGACCTCGGGATGACGTAGTGAAGATGTCGGAAAACTACCTACCTAGCCGCCAAGACTAAAAAAGCGCGGAAGAAATACACAGTAATGCCAAGCCGTAAAGAAGTAAGATAGGTGTAGACGCGGCGGAAAAGTAGTAAAAAAATGCTGACGTGAAGCTGGAATAAAGTTTGCCGCCGGCGTGGCAGCGGCATTGACGAGGTTTGGCCAAGAACTGGCTGATAAGCTGGTAATAAAAAGCTGGTGATATGCAAGTGCTCCTCCCAACCCCCCAAAACTCGCGCGATCGACCCGACCGACCCGACCGACCCGGGGGAAAGGGGGAAGGGGGGGGGAAGGGGGTAGCAATTATAAGCGCAAGAAACAAGCAGGAGCTGGGGTGGCCGGGCGGTGGGTGGGTTAGAATCACATGCGACAAGGCCATGCCGTCACAGTGACAACCTGCCTGCCTGCCGTGACCTGTCTGAGTGTGAATAACTGTGTGGTAACCCCAACCCCCCCCTAACCCCCCGGTCGCAGAGGGGGCCCGGGGCGGGGGAAATGGAGGTCGGGGGGGAGTAGGATGACACCACATAGCATCCAAGAAGTAACATCTATCTCAAGTATTTATCAATCTTGGGGTTTTCCGGGTTTGTGTAAACAGTCTCGGGCAATTAGTTGAGAACTGCGTCACCAGTTTGAGCTGCAGTAGCAGTACATGGTACTGTACTAGTTCCTTCCCTTCAAGCGAACGACTTCCCATCTCTTCCCCCACCCCCTCTCCCCTCCTTTCCCCCCAAACCCAAACCCAAACCCACCTGACCAGCCCCGCCAGGGGGACGTGGGGCCGCCGGTTCCGGGTATCGGAGGGGAACTCCCAGGCCATGGCCCCCGCAATACCTTCCGTACCGCCGTACAGCAGCATGTGCAGTCTGGGGACGTAGCAGGTTGTCCACAAGGGACCGCAATTCGGCTCTGTACGGTACGGCACGAGGCGAGGACCATTACAGGGAGGTTTGGGAGTTTTCGGGGGTGTGTCCGGAGGGGGGTGTAAGTGGCGGACAGGGGGTTGGGAGGGTAAGGAAGAGGCATGCAAGGGCCTTATGAGGGCCGGACGCTCGCTTTTCACCTCCCCTTATGACTGAATGTCGGAGAGCTCCCGCGACTAGCGGGTCGGAGGTTAGTAGTCGGGGTAGGAGGCGAGGTGTGGAGCCTCCCTCCTCCTCCGTGACACACACCCGCATCCCACCCTCCTCCGTGACACAATCCCGCATCCCACCCTCCTCCGTGACACACTCCCGCATCCCACCCTCCTCCGTGACACACACCCGCATCCCACCCTCCTCCGTGACACACACCCGCATCCCACCCTCCTCCGTGACACAATCCCGCATCCCACCCTCCTCCGTGACACACACCCGCATCCCACCCTCCTCCGGGACACAATCCCGCATCCCACCCTCCTCCGTGACACACTCCCGCATCCCACCCTCCTCCGTGACACACACCCGCATCCCACCCTCCTCCGTGACACAATCCCGCATCCCACCCTCCTCCGTGACACAATCCCGCATCCCACCCTCCTCCGTGACACACACCCGCATCCCACCCTCCTCCGTGACACACACCCGCATCCCACCCTCCTCCGTGACACACACCCGCATCCCACCCTCCTCCGTGACACACACCCGCATCCCACCCTCCTCCGTGACACACACCCGCATCCCACCCTCCTCCGTGACACACACCCGCATCCCACCCTCCTCCGTGACACACACCCGCATCCCACCCTCCTCCGTGACACACACCCGCATCCCACCCTCCTCCGTGACACACACCCGCATCCCACCCTCCTCCGTGACACACACCCGCATCCCACCCTCCTCCGTGACACACTCCCGCATCCCACCCTCCTCCGTGACACACTCCCGCATCCCACCCTCCTCCGGGACACACACCCGCATCCCACCCTCCTCCGTGACACACTCCCGCATCCCACCCTCCTCCGTGACACACACCCGCATCCCACCCTCCTCCGTGACACAATCCCGCATCCCACCCTCCTCCGTGACACAACCCGCATCCCACCCTCCTCCGTGACACACACCCGCATCCCACCCTCCTCCGTGACACACACCCGCATCCCACCCTC